GCCAGAGACATCAAGACAGAGAAATCTAATGGCGAGAACACTGAAGCATAAGTGGAGACCTGGGTTCTAGTCCGGCCTGTCACTAACCCTCTCTGAGCCTGTTTTCTCATCTGTAAAACCTGAGGGTTGAAGGATATGATCTCTAAGGTCCCTTCTAGCTATAACATTCAATGATTCTGTGAGAAGGGGGAAAAAATGGCTAGAGAGGTCATATGAGTCTCTGGTAAGGGGCATAAAGCCCTGCTAGTCCAGAACAGAGGGTGATCTGCAAACCAAAATACTGTGGAAAGCCAGTTGTTGAACTTCCCAAAGTCAGCAGTGAACTTAGGAGACCCGACCTGGGGGATGTGGTGTGAAGAAAGGAACCGATCTGAGTGGCTGCACGTCTACCAGATCTTAGCCTCCATCACTTATAATTAAAGGGCATCTGTTCCTTGCCCCTCATTTCCTTCATTTAGAGAAGCCAGAAGAAAATCAAGGAGGCTTTCACTCATGGCTCATTTCACTCCCTTCCCACCAATCTGACCTACAGGGACTATCACATTCGAAATCAGACTGGCCATGAGGTGGGTAGGTGAGGGCAGGCCAGCACAGACACATCCTCTCCTTGCCTGGCATCCGCTCCTGCACCAGGACCAACCTTCGATGGCCCTCCCTCAGACATACTCGCGTGCTTAAAGCCATCTGTTTATGCCCCTGGAAGGTCAGGGAACCACCCAGCCCTGCCCTTCCCAGCAGCATCTATGCCCCTGGCCTTTCTCTCCCCCGTTTCTCTGTTCTGTGTGTCTCCTCTCTCTCGAGCTGTATCTTACTCAGAAAAGTCCTCCTTTCAGCCTATTAGAAAAGATCTAAGGAACTAATTCATACAAGATCTCAATGACCAATAATGATTTTTATTTTCTTTTTAATTTATGGAATAAAATAAGCATTTCTATAACATAGTACAATTTTTTAGAAAAAGATGATTGTACATGAAACTGAAGAAGTATGCACAACTGGCTATTCCTTTCAAATATACAACAAAATCATCATGTAAATTTCTTTTTTTTCTTTCTTCCCTCCCATCCCGCTGCAGAGATGGCGTAATGATTAAGTGCATTACCTACTGCTCACAGGGGCCAATGCTATGTTAAGAGAAGATAATGCCTTAACACAAAGCCCCTGTGGCAGGTTAATGAGGAATATTTGGGAATCGAGATCTTCCCAGCGCACCTTAAAATCACAACTTCAGTGTTTGCCCCCTCCACTTCCGAGGCCAGTCCCACCACAGCATGGGCACAGGTGCTTACCACAGTACCTCTTTCTCACAGCCAACCACCTGGCTCCTCGCCCGTTCCTCAACTCTGTTCGTGACCAGATTTGGTCCACAGCAGAAACAAATCCATTTAATTTTATAGTTTGTTTTCTATGGGATAAGATTAGCTTTGATAGTGACTGTGCATCCCATCAATAACTTTGGATTCCACAAGTCTGAGACTCACAGAATGTTATGGCTGGGAAGAAACCTCACAAATACTTTGGTGCCAGACTTATTCGTAGAGGAGGAAACTGAGGTTTAGAAAGAAAAAGTGACTTGTCCACAATTAACTGGTCTCCCTACATCTTCTTCAATCCATCCTCCACATAGCTGCCGATAGACTATTCCTAAAACAGGGTCAGACCCTGTTACTTCCCTGCTCAAAAATCCTAAGTGGCTCCCTATTGCCTTTTTTTTTTTGATGTTTTAATATTTTTTTTTTGGTGAGGCAATTGGGGTTGAGTGACTTGCCCAGGGTCACACAGCTAGTAAGTACCAAGTGTCTGGCCTGAGACTGGATTTGAACTCAGATCCTCCTGACTCCAGGGCCGGTGCTCTATCCACTGTGCCACCTAGCTGCCCCTCCCTATTGCCTTTTGAAAAATACCCAAATCATTCAGCCTGGTATTTAAAGCCCTCCACAATCTGGTTCCCACTTACCTTTCCAGACTTTTTTTCACATTGCACTCTTTCTCATACTCGACATTCCAGCTAAATTAGCATTCTAGTTTTTCCCTGAACTCAAAATTCCATCTATGTGGCTTTGCATAGGCTATCCCACACCTAGAGTGTAATCTCTCTTCTTGTTTGCCTCTTACAATTCCTAACTTCTTTAAGTTCCAGTACCACCTCCTAAAAAATATCTTTCCTGATCCCGATCCCCTTTCCCTCTTACCCTCCCTGCCAGCATTAATCATGCTCACTTTCTCCTCAAATTTTCTCCTATTTATTTATCTAGGTATATATTGCATTCCTGACCACATCCTCAGTAAACTGTATACTCCTCAAGGTATATTTTTTTTGTTTTTGTATCTCCAGTGACTGGCACAGTGCCTTACACACAGTAGGCATTTAATATTTATTAAACTGAATTACACAGTCAGTGGCAGAATTAGAACTTATGTGGGTCTTCAGACTCTCAGGCCACTGTAACTTTTAGGACCTTGAACAGAACCAAAGCCAGGTCCCATCTCTCCTCCATTTGGAGTACTAAAGGGTTACTTGAACTCCCTTGTACTGATAATGCCCACAGATTTACCTACTAGGGACATATCCCTAATGTCCAAGAATGCAGAAGAATGTGTCTTTTGCTAGGTCATTTGAGATGACGGTGTCACCAACACAATTCAAGAAACAGTCATGTGAAAAAACAGTTGTGACCCCATGAAACACTGGCCTTTTCAGTGTCAGCAGCTCGGATATCAAATCAGCCCCTTATCTTCTGTCTTTCAAGATCCTGGCCTCAATACAGAGTTTCTCTGCTCTGGATTATGCTACCTCTGTACAGAGGATATAGGTTCTAAAGTCACTCGTGTTTTATAGTCTAGATTAAACCACAAGAGTGAATCTGTGCCATGGGCTTTGACCAGGGTCAGTTCTCTCCAGCTGTGTCCCTCTCCTAATAGGCAATGTATTTGTGTTGGTCTGAACCCACTACGTTTCCCCTAAACTGGTGATGTAGTGGAGAAAGCACTGGCACATGAGGAAGTGACACTGGGAGAACCTTTTATTCCTCTATTCCCAAATGTCTTTCTTCATCACTTAATCCCTTTATTATTCTAATTATCTGGGATTTGTCTGAGTTTCTTCCAAATGGTCTATTTGTTGACAGGGCCCTTAACCCAACCCACTAAGTTGCTCTCCAGTGGGAAGAAAGTAGCAAGACAATACACTATTCCCCCTGTCATAGGTGTAATAATGACCATGCCACCATGTGCTCCACTGGTCAGTCTCCAAAACCACATTGCTACTCTCTTCTCCTACATGGCAGGAGTAAAGCATAATAGCAATTCAATGGCATTGCGGTAGACGGAAGGCAGCTACTTCAGCAAAATTCTTGTAAGCGGCTCAAGAAGCTTTCCTGGAAGGTCATCAGGACATAAAGGCCTATGTTGTCAATACCCAAAGGGACATCTGGACTATCAGCAACTGGAAGAATAGGAAGCTCAAGAATTCTAGGGCCATTCCAAAGTTGGTGAACAACAAACACCAAGCAACTCCAGAGGCCGTTTACGTGGACCTTGGTTGAAGCTGGTGGTTTTGTTTCTGTCCATCACATCCTTTGGGCCCTATGTAAGGCCTCAGGTTCTGGCAAAATAGAATAATCTAAGGGAGGGGTTGGCAAATTATGACCCACTGGACTGCCTCTTTTTTATTCATTCTGCCCGAGTTAAGAATGACAATTACATTTTAAACTAAAGTTTTATTGTATTTTAGAATGTAAAATCCATTCTTCACTTGAGAGCCATACAAAAACAGACAGGCAGTGCCATGTGGCCCCTGGGCAGTAGTTCAGTGGATGCCACTCTAGAAAATCCAACTCTTCCCTCCCTTTTACACATCTCCTTGGTCTCACCAGTTTTTATTCCTCTCATTTCAAAATGTCCTCTTGCAAGTCTTCATAGAGTTGTTCTAGAGCTGGCTCCCTAGGGTGGGTCAAAGCTCTTCTTTACTGAATTCCCCCTTCTCTACTACTCTTTTGGATCATTTTCTACCTAAGTCCAAGAGGAGGAGTAAATATCATTCTCATTACATCTACTCCTGCTCCTGAGAAAAGATTTAAGAGTCAATATCCAATCAGCAACATCAATGTCTCAAAACAAGAATTCATGAGTATCTTGTAACTTTGAACATCAAGAGTTAGGACAACAGATGCTGAAATCCTCGCCACGCCCCACCTCCCCTCCCCTCCCCCCAGCCTGACATACTACCATACTTCAGCAATGACAACTTAAAAGATTCATTTTCTCTTAAAGCCTGAAAATCCAAGCAAAAAGTTATAATAGGAAAAAAATGTAAATGTTAAAATGGTATCCTAGAATCAATGCTGGAGGTTGAGACCTAATCAGTAGCTTTTCTGAGATGAGCCAGCCCAGCTCAAGGCAGTACAAATTTGGGGTCTTGCTAGAGAGAAGCAAGAGCTAGGAATAGGAAGCCAGAGGAAGATTTCTGGCAGCTAAAAAGAATAAATACTCAAATGGACATAATCAAGGTGGAAATTTCTGTCTATAGTGCAGGTACCTTTTATCTAGGACTCTAGTATTGCCTGCTTTGATCAAGGGGAAGCTTTCTGAATATGAATAGGTAAGAAGCAGGTTAAAGTGGATAATCAGAGATTGGGCTGGTGACCCAGGAGAGTTACCTATACTCCTTACACCTTTCTTGAGTTAGAAAGTCGCTAGAGGGAATGGTAAACTATTTCTTGTTTATTTGCTTTCTTCTCTCATTCTTAGAAAAGAGAAAAAAATAGAAAGTACTCAAGAATGCCCAACTTCCCTCTAAGGTGGACTCAATTCCTATCCTGAGCCTTCAGTGAGACAGACAGGTGCCAAATCCCTGGGTAATGACAGAGAGCACATTTTAGGCCTGAGAAGGCAACAAAATGGAACTGGCTATCATACTCATTACATTTTTCTATCAGGAATCTTTCCTGAGGCCAAGAGAACAAGTCTGACAGAAATAAGTACAGTGGAACAACACAGTATTCAAAACAATAGTGTTTATTACAAAACTAAATGGCCAGATTAGCCTCCGGAGCTTTCTTAGAAGCCCTTTTACAAAGCATGGTGTCAAACCTAAGGAGACACTCAGAGTTTGACTGAAAGGGAGCCATCTCTCTCTCATTCCCCTCAAATTTGAGGGAAATATATTTTTGTTGCTATTCTCTTTTAAAAATCAGGTACACTGTTCCGAATTCATGTAGAGAGACATTCACTTTCACCTCCAACTCAAGTAGCAAGGTTACACCAGCAGGTCTTCTCACAGGGATCCAGAGAATGATGAGGAAGATGAGTAGGGAGCATCACAATATCTGCTTTTGGAAAGCAGGGTTTGTGGCAGTGGTACGTTTCTTTCTCAGCAGCAATAAATCGGAGAGAAGGGACAAGCAAGCCACCTTCTCCATGGTCACTCACATACATTAGTCACAAGTAATTATATTTATGCCTTTCACACTCAAAACACTCCTGGGAACAAAACATTCTGTCTGAGAAATCGAGGAAGGAAACGGAACCTTGGAGCTCAAGCCTGGGCCTTGGAGTGAAGCCTCAAATATAGAATCCCTGTGTCTAAGGGGCACATAGGAACCCAGTTTGTTATCCTAATGGTGTGGATGTAAAATATATCTGGGCACTCTGGGCTTATCAATGCCCCTGCTGTTCTTTCTCAAATATTGAGAAACATATCTTGGGCCAGTGCCTTATTATACTCACTTAGAAAAAGTGAAAGGAGAGAGAGGTTCAGAAGAAGGGTGTTCTGCTTTCAAATCAGATGCAACTATCACTTCCAAATAGGCCTAAGTCCTATTAGCAGCTCAAAACTCAGTGAAATGCATGGAAAACCAGGAGCAGAAAAAAAGAAGCAAAGTATGCTGACTCAGACTACTTCTAGTCTGTTAATTTATTTTCAAGTCAGAAATGACTGCTCCATACCAAATCAGACCCTATCCCACAAGCTTTTCCAGACTACAGGGTTGTGTATAGTACAATCCCTTTAACTAAGGACAGTGAATGCCCTCTTATTGGGCCCCTTAGCAGGTAATGTCCCTTCCCGTGAACCAAGGGCTAGATGACTCCCCACATACTGCTCCCTATCTCCAAATAAGAGGCACAGTGGGTACCATTACTCGGCTCAAAAGAAATCAGACTTTCCTGAGGTGGTGGTATGCTGAGTTTCCCCATCTCCAATCTCCTTCCCTTCGACAAATGCAATTAACTAAGGAACCCAGGCTCAGGGCACGCATGCAGCTCTTCCTGCTGGGGGGAAGTATGGAGAGCCGAAGCCACTCAGAGGGAAAGGTTATCAGGCACCAGATCTAATTAGCCAACCTGCCTCGATTTTGGCATTGCTACATTTCCTCTATTAGCATTAATGACAATCAGTGTGAACCACCAAGAGGCCCCTGCATGGCCCACAACCTCGCCCCCCCTCCCTCCCCGAGGCAGTACAGCCAGTCCCTAGGACCTATTCCCTATCTCCATGGCAACCACCTCCCAATGATGTTCCAGAGAGCCCATGACCCCATCAGTCAGTGGAGTTGCCTGGGGAGAGGAGGGGAGGCGGCAATGGAGTGTGGCAGAGGCTCATGTTTAAACATGGAGGCACTAAACTGTGCCCAAGATTGAAGGGAGGCATATTGAGTGATGCATGGGAAGAGCAAAGCCCAACAGACAGAGGTACTGCAGACTGGTTTGGTCTGGCACTAGTCCAGGGGTTGTTTTGTTCCCTTTCACTGAGGAAAGATGGGGGGGGGGAGGCAGAGGAGGAGGGGATCATGATATCTGGCTTTGGATCATCAAGACAGGGACAAAGAAAACTGTTAACAGGTCTCTGGGGAGAAACTGCCTCCTGGATCGTGATGCAGAGAAGCATTCTTCGCTCTTTGGGGAAAGGAAGAGTTGGAAGAAATAATGACAGAAACAAGGCTTCCAGGTTGAGTGAAAGCTGTGTGAAAAACAGTGTGAAGATGCCAAGATAAGGAGGAAGCAGCAGGTGATGGGAACATGAACCCAGCACTCCACTTACTCCCCATACACTTGGCTGGAGTGCGCCCAAGGTGCTTCTCTGGTTCAAATTCCAAATGAAATTCCCCCTCACACTTCCCTTGTCTACTACAGTTAACAAGAAGGAGATTGACTAAGAGTTCTTCCTCTCAGCTGTGAGAAGACTCTGCCTTGTGCCCTTGCCTTCCATTTCCCAGACTTTCTGGGTGGGGCAAGGATGGGCAGGTGGAAGTGGCCTTCAGCCAAAAGGGCCCTGGGGTGGAGTGCAGCCAAGGATGGGATTCAGTATCTCTCACCAATCTGGTAATGCTTGACATTCTAAAAGGGCCAGAGCTCGGGGGCTCAAATGGCAGACCGCAAGTGCACAGGCCCCCTCATTCCCTGCACCCACTGAGCTCATGTCACAGTCCTAGGCAAGAAATCAAGAACTCAGCTGCCACAAAAAAGACTTGCCAAACGGCAGTCCGATTCCAGTCAGGATTGCCAGCAATGCAATGAGGATGAACGAGGATGTGATCTAGGTGCCCTTGTTTTCTGGTGATTCTTACCTGGTTTGTGGGAACAAGGATAACACAACTTAGACAGTTCCCATCTTTTCTGTCTGGGCTGTGCCCAAAGTTGGGGCAGAGGTGTTAAACCACAGAGCCTCTTTCCAGGTCAGCAACCTTTTGAAGAATTGCTTAGGTCCCAGTATTAGATCTTACCCACAATCATCTTATCCCTCAGCAGAAAGCACAACAAAATAAAAATCCAGTGTGAAAAGAAAATAAGAATAGGCAATTAGCCCTGAACTATTTTTGTTCCTAAGTGTTTACAACATTCAACTGTCCAGTTACCTAGGCTGTGATCCACAGGTGTAAGGACAAATGCATCACATATGTTCCCCTCATAATATATATAGGTACACACACACACACACACACACACACACACACGCGTGTAACAAGCACCCACCCCTCCTCTTGTTTTGCCCTCATTATTTGTTCCCTTGCATGTTCACATATAGCACAAATTCCAGGCAAATGGGGCTAATTAAGAGGAGTTAATACACTGCTTAAATATCCCCAACCAAAAACTGCTGATGGCACAAGCTACTAGAGTTGAAGATAGAGCCTCTGACTCATATGGGTGCAGACTGAAATTATCCCAAGGGCTCATCTCCTTAGCTAGGCTCCTCCTGGATGCGTAAGAGTCTTCTCAGGATCTCCTGAAGTAGCTGCTTCCACAGCTGCTTTCCCATAAGAACTAAAGAACTGGTTCCATTTGACCATTCCTGCAGGCAGTTCCTGGATCCTTCGGGGCTGGCGTTCTTTGGCTCTAAAACTCCCACGTTTCCAACCACTTTAATCCTGCCATTGGACTTTGAGGGTCCTGAGCCATGGGACCAACCATTCCATAAGAGAGAGGATGGAAGAGGTAGAAGCTAAGAAAGGAGATTCAGAAAAAGAGCATGAAAGTCAGAAAAACAAACCCAGTATTATAGATGTGACCCTTTTCAAGAAGAAGACCCTATCAAAATTTGCAGTCAGGTCCCTAATGTCTAGTGGTCTTTAAACTTTCTTATTCCACAATCACCTCTACTCCCTTGTGACTACCACATATTTCTACATGTATTATACAGGCCATAGTATTGCCTGGGTACAAGCTAAATTAATAAAGTAAGAGAATTATCACAAAGCCCAGGGAAGGGGTCAAGAGCAAGCTGAAGCAAAAGTCAAGAATTAAACATATCAAACTAGAACTTTTCTCAGAGAAAAACGACTCTCATTCCCTGGCACCAGGGTCCAATACTCACCTATAGGCAATTCCCAGGATCAGAAGAGAGATCCCAAATATATGCACCCAGTTAGCCAGAGGAAAAGATGACAGATAGTAAGCACAGAACCTGAGGACTGTGTCCCACAGGATCCCTAAAGAAGAGGGGGAAACCATTTACCATCAAGATTCAGCCCAAGTAAGACTCACCTTTTCTCCTACTAAAGCCAATACCCTACAGCTTAAGTCAGAGAAGCAAGAAATTCAATTCCCTTTTCCCTCCCCCACTCTATCCCTCGCACCTCCCAATGCCCTCTCCTTTCCCCCTCCCTGTGATCATCCCACCCCCCTCAAGCATCACTTTTCTACCGCTATGCCTTCCCTGGCATCTCCTGGATCAGTCCAGGAGAAGTCCTCTCTGCCCTGCGAGTCTCGGAAATACATGCCTGTCAACATGCTGGAGAAAAGCATGGCTGGAAAGTAGTGATGATAGTAAAGCACCCGGCCCATCATGAAGAAAGGGAAATAATGGAGCAGCCAACCCAGCAGGACCTGACCTCCTCCACGCAGCAGGACCTGGCAGAGACCTTGGGACACAAGTATCACGCCTCAGATAGGAAGTTCTGTTCCTACTTTTTGCCTTGGGGGATCAGGCCAATTCATATTAAAAAGGAATGAGTGAGCAGGGAGTTCAGCAGAAACCACAGGTCTTCAGAGCTGGTAGAGAACTTAGAGGTCGCTGCCCTTGGACATGTGGGGCTTGTTTTTGTCTGTCTTTTGCTTTCATCACAGTAAGCTGTTGTCTCAAACAAGAGGTGGTTTTCCTAAAGTCATTCACCTCTAATTCCCATGCAGATTTCTAACATGGAAACAGCCATATCTTTCCCTAAAGGATCCACAGTTCTGAAAAGCCGGAGGCTAGGAACACTCTCATTCCCCTCCCCTTCTCTAGTTCCCTGAATGATGATTCTTTGTGGCCACAAAGAAACACGCCTTGAGATAGCATCTCTCCCTGGAATGGGAAGACAAAGTGCAACTGGGAAGAGGGGAAACCTACAGAGGTGAAAGGAAGCCTATGCCTAGATGCTTGTCCTTGCTTTATTCCACAAGCTGAATGTCTACAATGACAGGTGGCAGCACAACAATTGGAAAATACAAGCTGCCATAGCAACTCCTTTCCATCCCACCAGAGGGATGGAGCCAAGGGCATATGGAGACTGTGGAGAAGGCAGAAGATGTACCTGCCAGGGAAATCCTGGTTTTAGTAAATAGGCACTTAACCTTCTGCCAAGTTACTGTAGGAAATGCTTGGAGAGCCTGACCTTTCACTTCTGCAGTGAGCTGAAGTCCCCTCTGCATAGACACAGTAGTGATGCTTCCCAGGAGAAGGTAAAGGCCAATGCTTACCAGATTCAACCACCAGATGACCTGTGTAGAAATAGGAAAAGGACAGGATGAAAGAAAGGCAAGGGCCAGAAGCACATATGAAAGAGCAAAACCCACAGGAAAGCACTTACTGGATTTCCAAGCAAATAGACCCGAAAGTCAGTCTCGTTGACTCCTGAGAAGCGCAGGCCCTGTGGTGGTAAAAAGCAAAGTGTTTATTCATGACTTGAGCGGAAAGGAGTTCTCAGAGTTTTCCACGCATCATCTCAATTGTCCTCCAAACCCTGCAGAAAACTTTGTTTTGTAATTTACAGACAGGGGATCCTAAGACACAGAGTGTCCAAATTCCACGTTCACTTCTCCAAGTATGCCAAATCAGCAGAGGGGAAGAGAAGCCAATTCTCTTGTACTTGGCCCTACCCCAGGCCCCACCTATTAGCGTTCCCACCTGGATTTGAATGGTTTCCTCTTTGGCTCTAAAGTTCACATGGCTTCATCTCTTTACCTGATAGTTGACGGGCCAATGCCAAGGCTTGGAAGTGACTTCATTCTCCTTGGGTTTGAGACCACTATTCCCCTGCAAGAAGGCAGCAACAAAAAAAGGGTAAGGGCAGAGACAGGGGAGGCTGATGAGGCGATGGCCGCTCAAGATCTCATGAATAGTGTAGGCTATGGATCAGTGCTGAGAGCCTGATCTCATCTGTCTCTGCAGAAAAGGATGAGCCTCTCTGGCCCTGGGAGAGCCTGGTGACGATTTTCTATTTATTACTTCCAAATAGGCTGCCCGTTAATTACTTTCCATTCAGATTCTGCGTACCCTAAGAAAACAGGAACCAAGAAAAGCAGAGGGCATATCTCTCATGGGTTTGTGCACATTCATCTTTGCTGTGGGAATTCTAGGCTAAGAGCATTAAGACGAGGGAGTCAATGGTGTAAAGGAGAAATCACTTCTGAGTTTTCCTAGGAAGCCAGCATCAATCAATTTCAAACACAGAACAGGGTGATATTTACTTAGTTCTTGGCATCCCTATACTCTGAAGAGGTTGTATAGTCTGGAAGACCCAAAGTCTTTCAATTCAGAGGCCAAGAGTATTTACTAGCCACATCTCTGTAAGGAGAAATTGGACTTTTACTAGGATGTACCACGGGCATCTATAGCAAGCAGCCAGGATGGCCTTTCGCTTAGCTAAATTCATCAACAGTAAGTTCACCTTGAATTTCCAAGATAAACTGAGGCATTTTTGCTTAAGCTGTTCCTGAGACTTTTCCTCCAGTAGGAGGGCAAGTAACCAAGATTTACATACAGTAACTTGTCACCAAGGTTCTAGAAAAGTACAATACTATTGCCCAACAAGAAGTAGAATGAAATGAGATCAGCTACGTCACTCAGTCTAAGTTGGGGCTCCAACTCACCCCCAAGTACCTGGTTTAGATCAGTCTAAACCAAGGAGAATATGATGGGTTTGTCCCAGGACCCATTTTTTTTATTATCCCCAAGAGCCTAGGGAGGTTAGGTTGTTATTCCTGGGTCCAGAATGGTTGCCAAGTTATGAAATTTAACAACAATCCCCAGCCCCTCAGATTTGCTGTTAAGTGCCCAAACAAGAACGATCCAGTATGGGCCCCCTGGAGCCACTGATGGCAGAAGCTGATACCTTCACATCAATCTAGTCCAGGCTCAAACTTGTAGATTTCTGTCAGAGCTGGATCAGTCCCAGATATTCAGCAAGCTTAATGGCTTTTCAGGTATATATACTTCATTCTACCTCCTGTTAGAAACCCAGATTACTTTAATTCATTTCATCCATGTGACAAGAAGAGAAAATCTCTATACCGATTACAGCTATATATATTTGTAAGTGGCTTCTTCATGCTTAAACCCCAATATGAACTAGCCCTATGCTGGATCTCATGAGCTAAGCCTGGCCCCACTAGCTTAGTGGCAGAACTTCTACTCAACTTTACTACTGTGGTAAGAGAACCTTTTCTACGGTTCCTGTTGCATAGATCATCATCCCCTTTGGAATCTTTCCACATCCTTCACTCTACATCATTGCAAATTTCAGCTGGGGAAAAAAAATCTCTTTTATTCCTTGTCTCTACCTCTTGCACACTGACAGAAGGAAAAAGAAATTAGCTTTGTAGACTTAATCTTAAAATTCTTCAAAGACATGAAATGATGCACTGAATGAAACACACCTCGAGCCAGGCTGGGTTACAGAGTTCTGTCACAAGGACAGCTACAAGCAGGAATTCTAACTAGAAGTGACCCAGGGATCTCACAAAGTCATCTTGGCCACCACCCAACACAGATCAGTGACAGCATTAGGCTGTTTTTAAAACCTGAGCCAATTCAATCTACAATGTTTATTGAGATGGAGAATTGATTGCAAAGTCTTTTCCAGGAAAATCCATCAGGCAAATAGTTCTCCAAGAAAGACAACTTTCCCCACCCACTCCCCAAATCAATGAGTTTAGTAGCAATCCCATATCTATGATGAGAAGCTAGAAAGGGTCCTACAAATAATAATAATAATACCGCCTCACACACTTATACAGCACAAGTTACAAGGTACTTTCCACAAACATTAATTTGCTTTATCTGAACAATCCTCTGATGTAGGTAGAGGAGATGTCATTAGCCCCATTTTGTAGATGAGAATAGAGGTTCAGAGAGCTTAAGTGGTCACACAGGAAGTGGCAGAAGCAAGAATCAAACTCAAGGCTTCTGAACAAGTCCAGTGCTCTTTCTGTAGCATCACATTGCTTCCAAGGCTCAATGAAGGATTCTTCTAAAATTCTCCTTAAAGGGGAAGCAGGTTTCTCTACCACCCTCCCTGATGAGAAGCCTAAGTTTATTTACTCCCCAGACTCTTGGACAGGCCACACAGGATGCCAGCTAGGTGAGAAGCGGGTCCCCTTACCCGGATCATAACCATGTGGGATTCCAGTAAGATCTCCGCAAAACTGGGCTTCAGGACGTCCAAGCTGATGTTTGGCACTGAACAAAGAGAGCACAGGGCAGACAAAAAACATCTTAAGCTCGTTTCCCTTTGCACATTCAGACTGTTCATTGCAAACACATTTCTATCAAGAAGGTCTGGCTATAGTCTTCCCGAGGTATTACTTGGGGCTAAGGTTAATGGCAGAAAGCAGAGATGAGGATTCTAAAGGCCTAAGAACTAAAGAACACTATCAAACGTCTAGTCTCATTCCCTGAACGTTTCTTTTTTTTTTTTTGCTTTTTTTTTGGTGAGGCTAGTAAGGTCCTTGAACATTTCTCAACCTGAAATTAGGCAAAAGATTTTATTTTCCTTCATTAATTCATTCATCATTTAATAAACACTTACTTTACACAAAGCACTGTATTAGGCTCTGTGGGAAATGCAAAGAAAATGGATGCCATTCCCTGGGATGAGGTCCCTGTCCTCATAAAGTTTACCATCTAGTTGAACAGATAAACAAACGGAAAGAACAGAAAAAAAAAAAACCTAAATGTTGTTTAATTTCAGTGACCAGGCTTGGTCCCAAAGAAAAGTCAACATGGCACAGTGGCTAGGGTGCCAGATTCGGAGTCAGGAAGACCTGGGTTCAAGTGTTGCCTCAGTCACTCACCGGCTAAGTGACCCTGGGCAAATGACTCAGCCCCTCTGGGCACGTTTCCTCATTTGTAAAATGAGTGAGACGGACTCAGTGACCTCTAAGATTCCTTCAAGATTAAAACCAAGGATCCTACGATAAGATTTACAAGGGAATGCACCTCTCTCCCTTCTTTGCGGAAGTTGGGGGCTATGGGTACAGAACACTGCATACACTGTCAGACTTAGCTGATGTGTGGGTAGATTTGCTGAACTGCATTTTCCCCCTCTTTATTATTACTTGCTGCAAGGGATAGCTTGCTGGGTAAAAGAAAGGAAGAGAATGCATTCAGAAATGAAAGCAATGTAGTAACCAAAATTAGACTTTTAAAAAAGACAAACAAGAATACAAGTGGAAAATCAAGAGAAGGGTACGTATGAGCAAATGTATGATATTAAAATATTTATGCCGATGGAATAAAGAGAATTTTTTAATGTCATAATGGAGATGGAAACCAAACTGATGGAAATCAAACTAAGAAGGTGTAAGGGGGGGGGAAGGGGGTCTTCGGTATGTTCTGTGTCTAAAAAGTTGAACTGGGAAAGGAAAAAGAGCAATAGGATAGTACTTGGCATGAAAAGTAGGGCCCGGACAAAGTCTGTGGTTGCTTTTCTTTTCTTTTTTTTCCAGGAAAGGGGATAAAAGCATGTCACAGTCAGCCCATGGAGGGTTCTCACTCACATTTGGGATTGATATGGTCCTCCACATTCCAGACAGAATTAGGGGTCTCCTTCAGGTATGGAGTGCAGGTCACTTCCAGCTGTTCCCAGCCCCTGTGAGAGGTGGTCATAAATGTTTCCTAGAACACTGAGACCCCCCCCCCCAATTGAAAGCCCTTCTGCAGCTATCTACTGTCCTGTATAATCCCCTTCTTTAATCTGGAGATAATCCTCCTAATCTCACAAAATTATATCCTACAACTACCCTGCAAATGCCACATTACTATTTCAGAGACAGAATAAAATATGTAGAGGATATGATGCCAAGTCAAAAGATCTGAGACCTTTAAGGTCTGCCAGGCCACACTACTCATTGAGACAGCAACATCTGGTCAATGAGCTTTGCACTCCTTACCTATCTGATACCAGCTTTTCACTTCCATCCATCATTGAAGAAAACAACAGAGCTGAGCATTGGACTGGACACAAACAAGTAAAAGTGCTTCCCACAAAACGGGGTAAAGAAATAAAAGAAGAAGGATTAGATAAGTAAACTCAAGACCCCAATGACTCACCATTTAGGCAGTGTCTTCCCTGAGGAACCCAGGACACAGCCCGTGGCCAGATGGATGAGTCGGATATGACTCCTCAGGACTTTGATCCGATTCTCAGATTTCCTATTCATCACCTCAATCCGCCAGAAATCATTTGAATCCCCTGTCCCATTCTGTCATATGAAGCAAGAAAAAACACACATGAAACTAAAGGACTCGAAAGAAATGAACAACAGAAAGGGATGATGAAAATAGATACCTCTCGATCATTACTATGCTATTAAGACAAAAGGTGAAGTAGACTGGCATTAGTCCTTCCCAAGTTGGGGCAGGAGGGGGAAGGAGTGTAGTTTCATCCACTGAATGACTGATGAAGCCCAGCACACAGTATTACAACCAAGCAAGATCACTTAGTCCCTTGAACCTAGGAATCTAATTTCCTCACTTCACAGAGCTATGGTCTAGACTCTAGACACATGAGGTTGCCCTCAAGCCACCAACCTCGATGCTATACCCTGAGCCAGCAGGAACTGATTTGGGCCATTTAAACCCATTACCTTAGCCATCTGGCTGCTCAATGCTCTGAGCCAGGAAGGGTACAGAAAAAAAAAAAAAAGGGCCTGGCCTGTATATTGCTACTTAGGAATTAAGATTTCTGTCTAGTTCTGCTCAAGGGAAGTCCAAAAGATTAAGTTAAGGATATGCAATTCTTATTCATTAGCAACTTCAAACACTTTAAGATTTAGTGGTTTGTTTCGTTGGTAATAGAAAATAAGGATTCAGAAAGACACTTGGTCAAGCATAAGGAACCCAGTACCCTTCTGATATCTCTGAAACCTTGGCAATAACTATTCATCACATTTACCTTCAAGTTACTGAAGGTAATCCCAGAAGACTTAGATGGCCCTTCACTTTAAAGGCGATCATAAAAATCAGTCAGTGTGTACTGGGAGATACCAAAAGGATTATCAACACACGCACTTACATTCAGCTACACAGGTACTTGTGGATAGGACATATGAAGGTGTTCCTTCCCCTTGGGCCCTTGGCTTCTGGGTCAAATTTGATTCATAATGGTCTATGGACTCCAATTAGTATCTTTTGACATTTATTAAACATCAGGACTAAATGGAACATATAAATATTATGATAGTGTTGGGATGGGGACAGATAGGTTTTTTATAAACTGCCTTTCCCACAGTAAGCAAAGCCAAAAAATCTTCCAAATGTTAAATGAGTCTTAACTCAGCCCCGAAAGCCTTAGGGACATTCTGAGATTCTGAGGATGACATGTTCTGCCAACATGGCAACAAGCCAGTCCCCACTACTTTTTACAACCTGTGCATCACTTTGGCTGTTTACTTACTACGCCATAGCCAGTGACCTGATAGTGCTTCCGGGTCATTGGGGCCTCGTGCTGATGACTGTGTAGGTTTCGAGAAGTCCTAGAATTCAAAGAAAAGGAGTGTTTGCATCATCTAAAAGGTGACAGGCAACAAATATGATGTAGTAAGAAAATACCAGAATGGAAGCCAAAATCCTATGGCTCTGACCCTGACCTCGTCAAACTAAGGGCACAACCTTAAGCTTCACCCTCTGGGTCACAGATTCCTCAAATCTAAAGAGAAAGGTCCGGATTAGATGACCTCTAATATCCCCTACCTCTAACATTCTGTGACTCTAGGACAGAGAAATGCAATTTCTCACCTACAGGGACCCCATTGTACCAAGTGGGTCTGAAGAAATAGCAACTCAGAAAGGGCCATCGGGAAAGGGTATTACTCAAATACCATCCAGAGAACAAGAAAAGAGCCCAAACTCTTTTTGGCAGCTTGGGACAGAAGGTAACAAGTACTAAAGAAACTGTATAGTATGGTGGAAAGAGTCATGGGCTTGGAGCCAGGAGAGACATCGGTTCAGATCCAGCCTCCGGCAATTAGCCATGTAGCCAACAACAAGTCATTTCACCTCTCTGAGATTCTGTTTCCTCATCTGTAAAATGGGGAAAACAACACCTGTCTGCAGGTACCACCTAGGGTTGTTGTGAGACTCAAGCTGAGAGAATGGATGTAACTCTGCAGACCTCAAAGTACTCTATGTCCATTACTATTCTTATTTCTATGGGGAACCTGTGGGAGGACATGGGCAGGCATAGATGGATAGCTGAGATCCCCAACACTGGGGGGACAAGTTATTTTGCACACTCCTTTTGAGTATGTTCACAGAAAGAGTATGGAGCCATGTTAGAAGTGCTATTGGCTCCATGAATGGGGTACATTATTAAATGGTTCTCTAAGATAAGTTACCTTAGCTGACCACAAGATGAAACTCTTCCATTGCCTCAAAAAGTAAAACCTTATTCCAAATACATACACTGACACAAGTATGAATCCGTTTCCCATTAGAGCCCTTCCCCTCACCCCCAACCCCTGCTCCATCACAGGATTAGCCTGGGCCTGTTTCCAAAGAAACACATATGAGACAGAAAATGGTGGTAGCTTTAGCTGATCCTAAAAAATATATTAACTGTATGCTCTAAACAAGGCAGCTCCCTGTTCTCTTACCCCTACCCCAAATCCAATCTAGTTTAAAAAAGGCCTGAGTACCTATCCCGTGAGGTCTTCTCATCTCCTACTTCACCCATTTACCAGGTATTTACACAAATGTGTCTTCTGTTTAAGTCTAGCCAGCCAAGAAAACAATCACACCCACCTCCCTGCTCCTCGTGCACCCTTTTAATCCTGAGCATCCTTACTCTTTGTGTTCCAGTCGAATGATGTCTCCGTGTCTCACAAACTCTACTGGGAAAGAAGGGTCTAGAGGATCTGCCAAGTAGAAACAGACATTGCCTCGCACCGTGAATTAGTTATAAAGACGAACATCATCCCTTTTAAAAATCAGCTCCATGCACATAACTAAGAGTTCAGCTCTTCTGCCCAAAGTCAAATATCAGACCCTGAAAACGTTACCAGCGGCCATTTGATCTCTGGCATCCCATCTCCTAGGAGCGAGCCCAGAAAGATGAGAACGAAAGCCAACTTTTGTTATAACTTTGAGACCAGGGCCAGTTAGGACCTAGAGAGGTGACAACATAGAAAAGGAATTTAAAGTGGTCACAGCAATGCAGAATGGGCCTTTAAAAGTTTCTTTACCAAGAAATGACGACCTAGGAATATTCTGGAAATACTAATGCTTTGGAAATAGACCAAGGTCAGACTAAGAAATAAATCTATTGACTAAAAATAGTCATATAACACACGCACACACACACACACACACCAAACCTCCAGAGAATTAGTGAGAAAATCCAATCCCAGAGATATTCATACCTATATGATCTTTCTACAAATCAGAGGAATCATTATAAGTAAAATATCACATGGTTAAATAGTTTATTTTGAGAGAGAAAGTTCAATTTTATCAATTTATGCCAGCAAGGCAGGAAGAACACAAAGACATCCTAGGATATAATGCTACATCTGAGTAGGCCCATAGCACTCCTACTTTCTAGCTGAAATGCCAGAGTTTGAACCTGGCATGGACCACTGATATCACCCAATTAATCATGTCAAAGTAAATTTTGAGGGGCTCAGTTTGTATTTTCCCTTTACCTCATCCTACAAACAAAACTTTGAGATTTGCCCATCTTAAATGTCATTCATATTATCCCATTAATTCAAAATACATTAACAGCGAAATCAACTGAACTCAGTCATGCAACTTTCTTCTTGGGAAAGAAACTGACAAAGTTCCTGTGCAATAGATTCATAATTTGTTATCGTGCAGCAGAGAATCAGGCCGAATAATTTTACAAGTCACATTTTTACAAAAAATTGGGCGAGAAGCCATGATGAAAAGGGGCAGGGAAAGAAACAAACAAGTGGATTAAAATGAACAGTGTGCAGCGTTGCCTACAAAGAACTGATTAGTTTATCCAGTAGTAGGCTGAGCCAGGTCACCTTAATCTGAAAAATCAAAGCAGACAGTAGAGCAAGACAACCAGCAGAAATATAGGGAAGGTGAACAGGAGGTCCCCTTTGTCCTCTCCACCACTACAGCAGAACGCACAGCCTATAGGTAGCAATCTGTCTGCCCAAAGATAAGAAGATTTGGATTCAAGGTTTGTTAGAAGCACCTGAGCCCCGTATAATTCAGCCTCTGAGTAGGAGCCCATCAGCTTGACTCACACCAGGGGACAACAGCACAAAGAGGGAAGCCAGAATGAGGCCCTAAGTTACAGGCCCAGCCAAATGCTACCATGATACACAGTTGTCAGGCCCTCAGAATTGTAACTGAAAGGGATATTCCAATTGACAATGATGGCCATCTTGCTATGACACTTTGGGGTGCACTGCATGCTGGGATGTGCAAGTTTTAGTGGACTCCACAGAAGAAATGAAGGCAGCTGCTATCTGCTCCACACTGGTGCCACCCTCAGGTTTGTGGCTAAGTATACAGTACCAAAACTGGAGAACAAAGGCAAGGCATGGACTTAAAACACATTCTTACATGTTAAACATATCCTAACACGTTTAATCTATGCCTTGCCCTTGTTCTCCAATTTTATTTTTAAAAAATATTTATGCAGATTCAAACCATGCCTGTTCTGAATCTCTCCACATTGATATGCCCACCCTTTTAGGGACCAGAGGGAAGTTAAGTTAGGGACTCATTACCTAATGACTCAGACAAGTATCAGTCCCCCTGCCACTTCCCTCACTTTCTGCTTACCTGTGTTGGCATCGTGTTTCTTCACAATCCACAAGTTGTTATAGTCCTTGTGCTGATAGGCAGTTACCTAGGAGGGAAAAAAAGCCCATGCCATCCCTGTTGAATCACCTCATCCAGCCACATGCCAGTACATTAAGAGTTTCTAAAATCATATCACATCCTCAGCCTCCAGCCCTGAAGTTGTCCCATCTCAAGAAAAGAAGCAGTACACACGAATAAGATGCCCCTTCACTTTTTCTGGCTTTGTAAGCCTTTTCTCTTGGGTTGTTTTGTCTCTTCATATTCCTGCATCTCTGCACTTGTCTTATTTGGATTTTAAACTTCTTGGGGGAGAAATCGTGATTACTTATAAGTAATACCATACCCAACATATTTGCCAAACCGGGCCACTAATACCCACACTTCTGATGTTTCACCTGGGCTCAAAGGACAACACCAAAAAGAATCTAAAATCTTCTCTAGGGATATATAAAGTCCAGGACAACAAACTGAATTCCTTAGAGGTACACAGGTGGTTTCTTCATCATTGTTACTGACTGAAAAAGTCTTAGAAGAGAGAAATGGGTATAAGTGATAGCTAGTTAAGATGACGGCATTAGAGAATGGGATTTGGACTTCTGGAAGAGGACTTAACATATAGGAATAATGCCTTGGTCAGCGATGCAGCACATCATATAAGAACTAGAAAAAAATCTATTTGCCTAATCTATGTTAATTCCAGAAGACCGATGATGATATGCATTTTCCTCCTTCCAGTAGGGAGGTAGCAGCAAAGCCTGCACACTCTGTCCAACTGGGTCACTGTCACTCTTAGTTTTTCTGCCATGTTCTTCTGTTATAAGGGAGAGTTCTCTGCTGGATGAGACAAAAGTGACTAGTGTAAAATCAATAAAATGTCAAGTATGTGTGCGTGCCCATGTGAAAATATTAAAAGGACAACATGAGGCAGTGAAAGCAGCAGAACCAGAACAGTGATTATTACTACGTATTTTTTTTAAAGATAGTGGAACTTCAGAAGACTGGGAAGATAACAGAGCAGAATCATTTTGGTTTGTTGTATTTTAATTTTTCTTAGCTTTATTCTGGTTAACGATGAATGTTTATGCAGCATGTTATTCCCTGTTTTATATATTAATTTGATTGTTGGGGACTTGTGGATTTAAGTAAGACAGCTTTAAAGTGAAAATGGAATGGGGGGGAGGGGGAACAGGAAAAAAAACTAGCCACAGATCTCCACTAAACCAACTACAAAGAATAGTGGAAATAAAAATATCATTGCAGATAGTTCACACGACATAGTATTAAGAAAGAGAAGCAATGATGTTCACGGTCTAAGATGTCTACACACAAGGGCACAGAATATGAGCAGCAAACAACATTAATGCAAAGAAGCAAATGTGATTTATATGACTCAAATACAGAAATAAAAGAACACAGCCTACTCAAAAGGAACAGATAGAAAGGAAAGTGGAGGACTACTGAATAGCCACAAGAACACTCCTATAGGAAATCAGTGAATAATTGTTGGGAAGCATGGTAAAGATCACAGAATAACAAAATTGAAACAGCAGCAATATTGTGACAGAAGTATACTACAGAACTATCCAGCCAGGATAATGGAGGAAATGGATAGTGAGTTCCAGAAACAAATCAGCAAAGAGGCATGACATACTAGTAATGGGAGACTTTACTTATCCAGCCATGTGCTAGAGGAAAGGGAGAAGGGGTCTTTATCTACTAAATTTAGAGCAGGTAATAATTTCCTGACACGCCTTAACAAAAATATAATTTTTTTTGAGACAATTGGGGTTAAGTGACTTGCCCAGGATGACACAGCTAGTAAGTGCTTTAGGCCAGATTTGAACTCAGGTCTTCCTGACTCCATAGCCAGTGCTCTATCCACTACTCCACCTAGCTACCCCAAGAATATAATTTTTTAAATGGTAGACAAAACAATTAAAAAAAAGTGATTCTAGCTGATACAGAAGAATTTTTTTTTTTGCTTTTTGGTGAGGCAATCAGGGTTAAGTGACTTGCCTAGGGTCACACAGCTAGTAAGTGTCAAGTATCTGAGGTCACATTTGAACTCAGGTCCTCCTGACTCCAAGGCCTGAGCTCTATCTACTGCACCACCTAGCTTCTCCTTTTATTTTTTTTTTCTAAGAAGAAATTCTTACCAAAGAGGACCTGACCAAAACTTTGAGATGCAATGACCATACAATCTTAGTGTTTGCAAGCAATAAGAATGAGACCACCAGGCATAGACTGACAAACCAACCTACATTTCAGGAGAATGAATTTTAGGGAAAGGATAGGTAGAATCAGATGGCATAAAATTCTACAGGGAAAATTGCCTTGAAAAGAATTAGGTTGAGAGGAGGAGGGGCTGAGCCAAGATGGCCAAGTAGACCCAGCTAACTTTCCCTAACTAACTCAACTTTTCCCTCCAAACAACTTAAAAATAACATGTCAAATTGAAGTCTGGAGCAACATAGCCAACAAAAAGTTGAGGTAAAGAAAAACCTGGAAAGACTTGTATGGACTGATGCTGAGTGAAGTGAACAGAACCAGGGGAACATTGTACACAGTAACAGCCAAGCTGTGAGATGACTAACGTTGACAGACTTAGCCCTTCTCAGCAATGCGAGGATCTAAGACATCTCCAAAGGTCTCATGATGAAAAATGCTATCTACAGCCAAAGAAAGAACTATGGAGTTTGAATGCAGATCAAAGAATACTATTTGCTCTTTTTTTTCTTCTGTTTTGTTTTGTTTCGTCTTTCTTGTGGTTCCTCCTATTGGTTCTAATTCTTCCTTACAACATCACTAATGTGAAAATATGTTTAATAGGAATGTATATGCATAGCCTATATCAGATTGTGCACCGTCTTGGGGAGGGAGAGAAAAATTTTAAATTCAAAAACTTATGGAAGAGATTGTTGATAAATCAAAATAAACTAATAAAAAAAAAGTCGAGGTAAGATATTTTTCCAGCCTAAGACAACTTAGGAGATCAGCAAGAGAGGTCTGTGAGGTGGGAGCTGGTTTGGAGTGAAGGTCACTATGACAGCAGCAGCAGTAGCAGCTTCAGGAGCTCTCATCCCAGAAACAGTAAGGGGATTGGACTAAGAAAGAGATTACAGGGGACCCTGAGCTGACACGGGGCATAGGATCAGGCACTGTGTGGCAACTTCACTGCCCTTACACAGTTCTTGGTTACAATTTCAGGGGGGAGAGGAACACTAATGGCCAGTCACAAGGGAGCAGGGGACCTGGCCACAGTTCCAAGGCTGAGGGGAGCAGTAACATTTGTGGCTGCAGGAGACCAGGCACCCTTCCTGGGCAAAGATGAGAGAGCAGACTAGGAGGGCAATGACCACACCTCTCCCAGGATAACCCCACTGTGAAAGCACCAAAGACTTGCTGACCCCCAGAGCTAGCTCTGAAAACAGCAATGAGAAAAAGTCTGAAGCTTGGGACAGTGTTTCCCCACCCCCAGGTGAGCAGAGCCCAATTTTAACATGAAGTTCAAAGTCAAGAAATAGGCTGGAAAAATGACAGACAATGAAAAAAGAACTTGACCATAAAGAAAACTACTATGGTGGCAGGAAAGACCAAGACACAAACCCAGAAGGCAACAACATGAAAACAGCTACAAGCAAAGCCTCAAAGAAAAATGCAAATTGACCATAAGCCCAACAAGAATTCCTGAAAGTTAAAGAAAGAGATAAGAGTGGTAGAGGAAAAAATGAGAAAAGAGAGTGATGCAAGATAATTATGAAAACAGAATTAACAGCTTGGCGAAAAGCAGAAAAAAATACTGAAGAAAATAATTTCTTTTTTTATTTTTAATTAATTTATTTTGAATTATCAATCACTTCCATAATTTTTTGAGTTTTAAATTTTTCTCTCCCTCCCTCCTCACCCTCTGTCCCCAAAACAGCACACAATCTGACATAGGCTATACATACACACTCCTATTAAACATATTTTCACATTAGTGACGTTGTAACGAAGAATTAGAACCAATAGGAAGAACCACCAGAAAAAGGAAACAAAACACAACAGAAGAAAAAAAATAGCAAATAGTAAGTTTCTATCTGCATTCAAACTCCATAGTTCCTTCTTCTTTGTGGATAGCATTTTGCATCATGAGGCTAAAGGTCTAATTTCTCAAGTATATGAGTAACTGAGTCAAATTTATTGAACTAAGAACCATTCCCCAATTGATAATTGGTCAGATGGTACGAACAGGAAGTTTTCAGAAGAAGTAAACTATCTATGGTCATATGAAAAATTATCTAAGTCATTAACACTTAGAGAAATGCAAATTAAAACAATTCTGAGATACCACCTCACACCTATCAGATTGGCTAACATGATGGAAAAGGAAAATGACAAATGCTGGAGGGGATGTGGAAAAATAGGATGTGGGGGGAAAAAAAACTAATGCACTGTTAGTGGATCTGTGAACTGTTCCAACCATGCTGGAGAACAATTTGGAACTATGCCCAAAAGTCTAGAAAACTGTGCGTAGCCTTTGATCCAACAACACCACTACTAGGTCTGTACTTCAAAGAGATAAAAGAAAAAGGAAAATGACTCATATGTACAAAAATATTTACAGAAGCTCCTTTTGTGGTGGCAAAGAATTGGAAATGGAGGGGATACCCATCAATTGGAGACTGGTTGAACAAACTGCAGTATAAGATTCTGACGGAACACTATTGTGCTATACGAAATGATGAAGAGGGTGGTTTCAGAAAAACATGGGAAGAACTATGTGAAGTGATGCAGAGTAAAGTGAGCAGAACCAGATGGTCATTGTCCATAGTAACAACACTGTAACAATGACCAACTGCAAAAGACTTAGCTACTCTAATAAATACAATAATCTAAGACAATTCCAAAGGATTCCTGAAGAAAACTCTTATCCATTTCCAGAAAGAAAACCGATGAACTCTAAGTGAAAACTGAAGTATAATGTTTTCACTTTCTTTATTTTTCTTGTTTTTTTGCAGTATGGCTAATATGGAAATGTGTTCTGTATCCCAAATACATATATATAGAAATGATATAATACTGCTTGACGGGGAGGGGCTGGAGGGAGGGAGAAAATTTGTAACTCAAATTTTTTTAAGATTGTTAAAAATACAATTTTTTTTAAAAGAAAGGAACTGCATTCTCTCAAGAACAAAGTTCTGATGACACAAGTATTAACGTTTCCTATGAGACAGAAAAGGGGAAGCTATCTAAAAAGACTAACTTGGACCCATGGGGAATTCATCCACTAATTCAACAAGCATTTATCTTGTGCCAACTCTGCACCAGGTGCTACACCAGGGACTGGATTTAGGAAGTTCTATGGCATGTACAGAAAACAGAAGAGCAGATTAGCAAGAAGAGATACAAAAAGAGCAGCAGGCTCTTATGAGAATAAGTGACATCGAGAATATCAAAGTCCAGATTAAGTGTAAGCTTGCAGTGAAGGCCAGGCCTTCTTGGGATGTTAAGGGCAAAAGGGAAAGACCAGACTGTGACTTAGGATGCCTAGGAAAGCAGCAAGAGATGACTGAGTGAAGGCAGAGCTCTACTCAACTCTGACTTTGCTTGTTTTCTCTACCAAGGAGAGGGATCTTCAGACTAGAGGGCACGGGGGAAATGGCTAGCAGGGAACTGGAAACTCAAGACGGTAGAAGGACGAGGTAGAAAAAGAACAAAGAGGGGGCAGCTAGGTGGCGCAGTAGATAGAGCTCCGGCCTTGGAGTCAGGAGAACCTGAGTTCAAATCCGGTCTCAGACCAAACACTTGACACTTAATAGCTGTGTGACCCTGGGCAAGTCACTTAACCCCCATTGCCTCACCAAAAAAAAAGCAAAAACAGAAAAAGAAAAAAGAGTTGAATGCATGAGTTCAGGTCACCAAGCCCAGACGAACTGCATTTGGTACATAGTATATACATTTATGGGGCAGAAAGGTAATGCAGCGCACAAAACACCAGGCCTGAAGTCAGGAAGATCTGAGTTCAAATCCAGCTTAACTATGCTAGCTATGTGTGTCTGGTCAAGTCACTTAACCCTGTTTGCCTCAGCTACTCATCTGTAAAATGGGGACACACTGGAGAAGGAAATGACAAACCAGTCCAGTATCTTTCCCATAAAACCCCATGTTTTTACCATGCAGTTATGCTGAGTCAGACACAACTGAACAACAACAAGATATATTTATGCTGATCATTTATCAATGATCTTTGAAAAATCAGAGAGAAGAGGAAAAGGGATTGCAAAACTAGAGATAGGTAAATGTCCTGATATTCAAAATAGGAGAAAAGGTCTATCATTTAAACTGTAGGTCAGGTGCAGCTAGATGGCGCAGTGGATAGAGCTCTGGCCTTGCAATCAGGAGGACCCGAGTTCAAATCTGGCCTCAGACAGTTGACACTTACTAGCTGTGTGACTCCGGCCAAGTCACGTAATCCCAACTGCCTCACCAAAAAGTAAAAATAAATAAACAAACTGTAGGTCAGTAATCCTGATATCAATTCCTAGTGACATTCCCAAATGTATTATGAAGAGGATGGTTCATGAACATTTAGAAAGAAAAATGGTAATCACTAAGAGTTAACAATGTCGTACAAGACTAACATCACTTGCCTTTTTTGAAAGGTTTACTAGATCAATGGACTAACACAGACAAGCTCTCTGACAAAGACTGTCACTATGCCATGGTGGACACTGTGAAGAGATGTGGACTTAAATGACAACACAGTTAGCCAGACTCACCACTGGGGAAGTAACCAAACCTATTGCAATTAATGGACTAATGTCAACACGGAAAGAGGTCTGCACTTAGAACAACATCCCAGCGATGAGTCCTTGACCATGTTGCTCAACATTTTTATTAGTGACTTGGACAAAAGCACAGATGAGATGATTGTCAAATTTGTGAATGACCAAGCTGGAAAGGAAAGCTCGTACGCTCGTATACAGAAAAACTCTACATGCTTTAATAACAGACCGGGTCGAATGAGCTAAAATTTAGTAGAGGTAAATGTGAAGTCATACACTTGGGTTTTTTTTTTTTAAGTATAGGATCTGGGAGATGTAGCTGAACAGTATTTCACGTGAAAAGACATCTGCCGGCTTCAGTGAACCATAAACTCAATAGCAGACAGTAACAGTGTGGTAACTAAAAATGCAAGTACCCTCTTAGACTAGATTACAATCTATCTAGCGTCTAGATTAAGAGAACTGATCATCACATTGTACTCTAAGCCCAGGCAGAGCACATGCAGAGTAATATGTTCAGTTCTGGGCACCACATTCGAGAAAGAACATTTACAACAGGGAACATATGCAGAGAAGTGTGACCAGGAGGGCATGGAGATTCATATACATGCCACATCAAGGTCAGTAGAAGGAACTTGGAATGCTTAACCTAAGACAAGGCTTAGAGTTGACATAAGAAGTTTTCAAGTATCCAAAATACCATTACGTGGAAAAAAGAATTGGGTTAATTTTGCAAAATTAGATTTTATTTGGCCACAGAAAGCAAAGCTTGAAGTATTAGGCAGAAGTTGCAAAGAGGCAGATTCTGGTTTAACATGAGGAAGAACCTCCTAAGGATTAGAATTGTCCAAAAGGTAGAATGGGTTACCTTGGTTGTTAGAGAAGTAGGAATCATTGTAAATCTTCAAGCATAAACTGGATAACCACTTTGAATGTTGCAGAAAGGATTCCTATTCAAAGATAGGCTGGAATAGATGATCTCTTCAGCTCCTTCCAACTTGTATTTTATGATCATATAACAATGAAAACTTAACAAATATTTTAACAATAATAAAAAAGAAAGAAATCCTCTAGCAGAAGATTAATGTCTAAAATTGTCTACAAACAGAAGAAAGAAAGCAGAAGCGAAGCTAGTAAGCTCTATTACTAATACTACTTACTACTAGTAGGTTCTACTAACACCTGGAAGGATGGACTTTAAGTCAGCACTCAGTTTGAAAACACTGATATGTATCTTTATTGCAAAAGATGGACACACAGTCAAGACACAGTGCCATAGAACTGGAAGGGCCTTTGATGTCATCTAACATAATCCTTATTACCTAGATGAGGAAACAGAAGCCCACAGACGTGGGAGACTTGTCCGTTCACACTTTGGACTGAAAGTAGGATCTCAGCTTCCAGTCTAGGGCCCAAATAAAGCATAGTACCCTCTTAGGTCTCTAAAATGATTCCATAAGCACGAAACTGAGAGAATTAACCTTGTGATCTTCAGCAGTTCCTTTCACAGCACAGTCTTTCTTCCTTTGCACATTAAGTAAGGATTATTTTCTGTTCACAAGTCAAGAGTCAAAATCTACCATATCTCTGATAACATCTTCAAGAAAACTTGAGGTAAGGGAGGCTGATGGGGCATTATCTATGAAGTATTAAGACCAAAGACTAGGAATCAGAGAGCAGAATTAAACAATACAACCTACAACCCTGACTGAAGTCACTCTAGAAACTAAGAGAAAATAACCAATAAAACATTAAAAAGAAGAACAAAACAATTAAAGAACCTCAAAGTACTTTTAAGATTATAATAATATTTATTTTGCAGATATTGAAATTGTGACAGGAGATTGTGGAATCAGATTATAAAGGAGTTTCTGCTGTAGTTACCCTGGGACAAGAGAATCAAACTGCTGGTAAATATAGTAGACATTATCTCAGTGTTAATGCAAGCAGTATCACAAAGCAAATAAGGAATTCTCACCAACTGAGTCATGAATCCTGGAGCATGCCAATGGCAGATGATATAACTGGGGATATGGTGAAGATGAAAATATCAGAGTCATAGCATCATAGAATTCATAGCTGTCAGGGAACCAGAGGTCATATAGTCCAGCCACTTCATTACCCAGATGAAGAAAGGGAGGTCTACAGAGGTAAAGTGCCTTTCCCAAGGTCACACAGGCAGTAAATAGCTCAGGCAGAACCAAAACTCATGTCCTCTGATTCCATCTTCTTTCCAACACACACGCACACACACACACACACACACACACACATACTCTCTCTCTCTCCCCTTCTCTCTGTCACATACATTAACATACACATACATGTACAAAATACACACTTTTTTAGGAAAAAAAAAAAGGCAAGATCGACTTCAGCATCAACATTTCCATAGTTTAAGATTAGGCCTAAAGGGCCATTCTTATTCCCACCATAGAATTTTGAGTATATAATCCATGGATTTTATGGTGAGTCCCTAACTGGACCTTGTACTGATCAGGAAAGGAAGAAGGTGGAAGGGGAGGACTGTTGTGGGGGACAGATGAAATGTAGGGATCAGAACCATGGATCTGAAGGTCACAGTTCTGATCCCAGGTCTGCTTGCTACTCATATGACTTTGGACAAGTCCTTCAACCTTTGAGGGCCTTAGTTTCCTTATCTATAAAATGAATAGGTTGAGCCAGATAATCTCTCATATCTCTTCCAGCTCTAAATTCTATAATCCTTTTAGGGAGACGTTCTAAGACGTCCAAAGACACACCATCTATAACTAGTAACAGACTCTGATATAACTAGTTAACATCTGTTCGCTAATTTCTGAACCCTAGGACATAATATCAGCATCTAACAACTTTTGTACCTTTAGTTCCTGGGGCATGTCCGATCCTTAGAGGTCCCAGATCTCCAAAATAAGGAAAAGGAAGGGCAAGCAGCAATAACAACAAGGGAACCTATACTCAAGGGCTCACTCACCTGCTGCTGGCGTGCACCAACTCCTTCCGGATAAAGATGCCAATGTGAATGGAGGTACCCGCTAGCCATTCGGAGATTCTTCACTGTAATCACAGATCCATAAGCCAAGTCTGAAAAAGCAGGGGAAAAAGACACATATGTAAGCACATCTCTAAAGCAATTATTGCATATATTTCTCCCAAAACACAAAAATCTCTAACTTTGCCTAGTAGGAAGTTTCTTTTTGTTCTTATAAGTTTCCCCAGTGCCGTAACCCAGTGGAAAACAAGCAAGTCACATATGTGCAGCCTCACTGACAAAAGAAAGGTCACTGGTAAGTCTTACTTAATCCTCTAATCATGATGACTGAATGTGACTGCCCCGATAAAGAACATCTACAATCTTCCTAGTCTAGGCCAGCATGTACAATAATCAAGTAGAGAAGGCAAACGTATTGTTGGCACGTTTCACTATTAACTGTATTCTCCTGTCAGCTTTAAATCTATGGCTCTAATCCTTAAAGCACTCATTCTGTAAAGAAAGAAGGCAGGGCTTCCTCAGATGGCAATTTTGAAGTTGGTTTTTTGTTTCTTAAGAACCCTATTATGATACAAGGTCATGTCATAGAACCACTATATGGACTACTTCTAGGAGAGGCCTTCAGATGAAAAGAGAAAAAATGGCAAGACAAAAGCAGGGAAACTAGATGACTCTGATACCACACAATCTTCTTGAAAGGTAAAACCTTGTACGTGTACTTTTGAGCTTATCCCTTTCTACCTCCCCAAGACCTAACTTCTCCATTTTTCTCCTTTCTGACATCTTCAATCTCTACTGACTCTTTCCCTTTTGTTTAAAGACATGTTCAGATCTCTACTATACCTAAAAGCAAAAGAGCCTTCACCTGCCCCCTGTTCTCCCTTCTACCTCTCATTTTCCTTCTTTTTTTTCCCCACAGCAAGCTTCTAAAAAGAATAGTCTATATTGGATGCCTCCATTTTCTCACCCCTTACCTATACGTTAAGTCTCTGCAGTTCATATTCACTACTCCAGTGAAAGTGATACCTTAAAGGTCACCAAAGATTCATTTGCCTTGTCTCGGTTCTCCTTCTCATCCTAACTATAGCGCAACAACGCCTGACTCAACTGATCACCCCCTCTACTGACTGCTTATGATACCCAATCTGAAACTCACATTAATGAAACCAGGGGCAAGGTGGGGAGGGGAAAATCTATCTTCTGGTCTAAGAAATCTCACCATTGAAGAAGTATTCTAAGTTTCCTCTGCCTAGCTTAATCCTTTAATGTAACCCTTCCAGATCCCTCCAGAGCCTTCCTCCCCCATCCACCCCCACCAAGAACCCTGAAACCTTTGGTAGGTCAATCTGACATAATATAGACTTTTCCAGTCCAACTCCTAAGAATTCACACATTGACCTAGCCCGGACAATGGACAGTTTGAGAAAAGCCCTTTCCAAGGACCAAAGTATGCTCACGTTCTGGAATGGAAGCATTGTGAAGGTTGTTCCCCAAAAGCCGAGACTGAAAGGCAGAACTGAAAAAGCCATCTCCAGGGCCACTGAAAGGAAAGACAGACATATAATAGCCATTAAGACACAAGCGAAAAAATCAGGTGGTGCTGGAGACCGTGATTTGTCAATAGCACCAGGAATCATCTCACTTAGCATTTTAAAGAAGTACATACAGAGAGCTGTGACTTCCCCATCCTATTAAATAAGACACCTGACTCGGGTGAAAGGCCACGCTGGTTTGTTTGGATATAAAGAGATTGTCCTTTTCCTTCTGGTCACATGACTGATCTTTCTTGATCCCAGATATAACACAGGGAACAGAACAGAAAAAAGACAAGGTAAGACTACTCTGCTTCACACCCCTCTTTCCATTCACTCCAAGACACTTGCCATGCTGTTCTGTGACCAGGTGATCATTTGTCTCAAATAACAACCATGAGTGCAGAACTTTAAAGATAGGTTTAGAGGCAAGAAGAAGGTAGGGAACCCAGCAGTACCTTCTATTCAATATGATGAAGTGAACTGCAAACAGGGTAGTATAGAGAATAAGAGGAAACACAATGAGGCACAAGATCCGAGCTGCCAAGTGTTTTCCCAGTGTTACCTGCAAAATGAAGGTCAATATATTTGATAAAATCCACGCCAAGTAAGGAAGAACTCATCAAGGAAAAATACATGGGTATCTCAATATTCTCATCAATATATAAGCATCCAAAAGTTGCAGAGGGTTAAAAACAGAGTGATTCCAGAGGAGGCCTGGGTGTTTTTGTTTGCTTTTCTGAATTTAACAAATACGTGACAAAAGTTTTACAAAAACACTGTTTGCTCACCATTGTGAGATTCAGGTCTCCCAGCAGCTGCCAAAGATCTGAAATTGTGTTCAATCCGACATGAAGGACAATAAAGAGGCCAACAAACTTGACCCCTAAAGCACCGGCAAGACTGACTCCTGTCAGGCTGAGCCAGAGCCACCAACAGGCAGAGAAGGGCCTGCAAAACCAACAGAAGAGGATATTTTCTTACAGCAAAGAACAGCGGCAGAGGGGAAGATAAAAGTTTCCTCCTCTCTAACATAAGGGGTTGGATTTGTTCAGTAATTTTTTAGTTGCATCTAACTCTTCATGACCTTATTTGGGGTTTCCTTGGCAAAGATACTGGAGTGGTTTGCCATTTCCTTATTCAGCTCATTTTACAGATGAGGAAACTAAGGCAACAGGGTTAAATGACTTACCTAGGGTCACCCAGCTAGTAAGTGTCTTAAGGCCAGATGTGAACTCAGAAAGATAAGTCTTACTGACTCAGGCCCAGCACTCTCTCTACTGTGCGACCTAACTGCCCTAGGGGTTAAACTTAGGTTCCTCTAAGCTTCCTTCCAGCTCTAAAAATCCTGCAATTGTATTAAAATTCAGTATTTTCTGTAGCACAGAAAAGCTATGCTACGTTCTATGAGTTCAACTGAAATCTATTTTTCATTAATGACCACTCAGAATCAAAAAGAAAATTCAAGAAAGCCCTCTGGATGCAAAACATCTGAAAAATTTAAAGAGGCCAGAGGTGACTGGTACAAATTTATTCTGACTTGATTAGTTTTATTGGTTTGAAAGTAAGTGGGATAAAAACTGCTTCTCAGTAACGTGCCTAAAAAGCCTATGTACTAGCCTTTTTTTTGTCCTGAACAAGATGGATGATTAGGCTCCTTCTGCTATACCAGGACCTAAAGGGAAGCCAAAGACCTGTCTAAGAAGAACATTAGAACTTCTAGATGAGTTCTAGAACTATCCAAGCCCCTCATGAACTTCTGCAGTAGTATGAGCCTCTTAAGTCCAAACTGCATTCACTGCATTGGATCAAACATTTTCAAACCTTTATCAAGTGACTCCCATGTGGGATTGGAAGGGATCCAGCCACTAAGGACAGAGATGTTAGGTGGCAGGCAAAGAAGCTTTCACCCATATGCATTTTTCTTGATGAGAGAAACCCCAAAGAACAAAATGGCCAAGCATCTTCAAACCCCATCCATCCAAAGATTTCACTTACCTATCTGCACAGGAGTTATACTTGACCATGCTCAGCATTGCAGCCATGATGAAGAACATGAGGATGGGATCCAGAAGTATGTACTGTGACAAAGTAAGGCAGCCAGTGTCTGAAAAACAGTTCAACCCCTTCAGGAATAGTGGATCAGATTTAGAGATGAGCCCAAAAGCCAAAACACCTGAATGCTGATTAATCAATCAATAATAATTTCTCAAGCACCTATTATTGGTCAGACTCTTTGCTAGGCACTGAGGATACAAAGACAAAAGTAAAAGAAATCAGTGGTGAGTCCTGAGTTCCAGAAAACTCAACAGGCAAAACTATTTCCCTTAAATTAACTTAGTTGAAGCTTAGTTTTGTTTTTTCGCCAGGTAATGGGGTTAAGTGACTTGCCCAGGGTCACAGAGCTAGTAAGTGTTACGTCTGAGGCCAGATTTGAACTCGGGTTCTCCTGACTCCAGGGCTGGTGTTCTATCCACTGTGCCACATAGCTGCTCCAGAAGCTTAGTTTTATATACACATTTGGAATGGAAGGACGAAGATAAGATAAGAGAAATTAACTTCCATACATGAAAGGTCTACAAAGTACTATTCTTACCACAACTGTGTGAGATGGGTATTGCAAGCTTTATTATCTCCATTTTACAGATATGGAAACTGAGGCTCAGAGAGGTTAAGGGCCTTGCCTAGATCACACAATCCAAACCAAGTTTTTGTGGTTTTGCTTTTTTTAATGCTGGTGTCTCCTGAGACCAATTCCAACACTGGTTCTGTAATACAATGATGCCTGTCAATGTGACACTATGTCTTCATACTCCAACTGAAAACAAGTGAAACCAGGGCCACAAGGTCTGAAACACAAACACACCCAGTCTGTCACCCTGGGCACAGCAAAGAATCTAATTTCAATAACTGTATGCTCGAGGCACTGGAAATACACCATCGTTTACTAAACTTGGGTGTACGTCACCACTGACAAAATCTGCAACTATAGTGGATAGAAAGCTGGACCTGGAGTCAGGAAGACCTGAGCTAAAATCCAGCCTCAGACATTTACTGTTTTGTGACCCTGAGTAAGTCACTTAACCTCCATCTGCCACCGTTTCCTCAGCTGTAAAATGAGGATAATAATATCACGTACCTCCCAGGGTTGTGAGGACCAAATGAGACCATATTTGTAAGCATTCAGTGCCCTGGCATACAGCTGGTGCTTCATCAATGCTTGTTCCCTTCTCTCTTCCAATCTTCCCACACTTTACTCCCCTCTATACAATCTAACACGTAATAATATCGGCCTGCTTGCTGATGCTCCTGGAACAGAACGGTCCAGCTCCGGACTCCCTCCATGCCTTGCACAGGCTGTCCCCCAAGCCAGGTACGCTCTCCCTCCTTACCTCTGACGCCCAGGTCCCCTGGCTTCCTTCAGGACTCAGCTCACGTTCCACCTTCTGCAGGCAGCCTTTCCCAATCCCAATCCAGCATTAGAGCCTTCTCTCTGAGACTGCTGTCCATTTATTCTGTCCATTTATGTCTCCCTCACTGAAATGTGAGTTACTTGAAAGGAGGGACTACCTTTTGCCTTTCTTTGTTCTCTTCACACTTAGGCACGTAGGAAGCACCTAATAAATGTCTGTTGACTGACTGACTGACTTTGAATCAAGGGAAAGGAAAAATTTTTATAAAGAAAGGAAAGAAGAAATCTACCAAATGTTGACTATGAACCTGAGAGTTTCCAGCACCACAACCTTACAACCATAATAGAGTTCATAACAAACAAAACCAAACCATCTTCAGAATAGCCATCTGAATAAGCCTTATCTTCTTCCTTCAAAAAGTGAACTGCCTAAGGATGTTCAGAACCACAGACTTGGAGCTAAAAACCACTGCCTGCAGAAGATGGGACTGGAGCTGAGCGTTGAAGGAGGCCAGGGAAACGAGGAATCAGAGTGTTCCAAGAACAGAGACCAGCCAGTGCGAAGCACTCTGAGTCCAACGTCCTCGGGACACTGAGGCTCAGACAAGGTGACCTGCCCAACAGCACACAGGCCATAAATGGCAAAACTAGGATCTGAAGCCAGGACCTGTCACTCCAAAGCCAACGTTCCTTCCATTTTACTCAGTTAAAAACAATGTTAGCAAATAGAACACCTTTAGGGTCAATTATAATTATTTCTGCAGACTTTACCCAGAGTAAATGTCTACTTGCCAAAGGAATATGTTATAGAATTCAACAAAATAATAACAAAATTCATTTGGAGGAACAAAAGGTCAAAATAATTTAAAAATAGGTATGAAATGATGTGGGTAAGTCAGATATCAAGTTATATTACAAAGCAATAATCATTAAGAGGCAGCAGAGGATAGTGAATAGAGAGCTGACCTCATAATCAAGAAGACCTGTATTCAAGTCTTGACTCTGATGTACACTAGCTGTGAGATGTTGGGCAACTCTCTAGGATTACACATTATGGAACAGTTGTTTGATATTCACTGGTAGAGGGTTTCTTCACTGGGAGTTCTCTATGCCAATGAAATGATAGATCCAGGCCCCCCCAAAAAAAAATCAAAAAAAATCAAAGCCATCTGCTACTGGATAAAAAAAAACCATCAACATAAACAGTACACTACATTAGATAAGATTTAGAAATATTTCTATCAGTCTAGCATTCAATAAACCCAGAAACTACTACAGAAGGGATTTTTATTCAATAAAAACTTCTAGGGAAAATGGTAAATAGTCTGGCAGAAAAGAGATTTAGAGCAACATCTTACAGTCTATACCAAGATAAATTGTAAATGTTTGATAAAAATATCTAAACATAAAAAGTCACATTGCAAAAGAATTAGGAGAAAGGAAATCTATATTTTTCCATAACTGAGGATTGGGAAAGAATCCATAACCAGAAACAGGGAGGATATTACAAAAGACAAAATAGACAACTTTTGTTACATGAAATTTAAAAAATTTTCCACAAATAAAGGCAGATAGAGTTAGAAGATCATGAACAGGGAAAGACCAGTATATTAAATATCTATGATAAAAGTCTGACATGCAAAATGTATAAGAATTGATACAAATCTATGAGATAATCCATTCCCTTATTGACATTTTGTCAAAATTGAACATTTTAAAACAGAACAAATATGAACTATCAACAACCAGCTGAAAAACTTTTCAAAATCACTAGTAATTAGAAAACTCAAAATTACAAAACAATGAATACTTTAAGATGTTACCTCACATTCATTAAATTGGAAAGGATAGGATAATTCAATGTTGGAAGGGCTATGGAAAAATAAGGATGCTAATTCGCTGCTGGTGGAGATGATGAACAGGTCCAACCATTCTGGGAAATAATTTGGAAATACGTAAGAAAAAGCAATAAGTTGTTCACACCCTCTGACCTAGAGGTACCACTCCTAGGTTTATACCCTCAATGAGGTTAATGACAGCAAGAAAAGATTCTCACGTACAAAAATATTCCCTGAAGTAGTACTAGTAATAAGTAACTAGGAGCAAAATATTTGCCCAATAATTGGAGCATGGCAGAACAAACTGTGACACATTAAGGTAAGGAACTATTATTGTGGTAAAAGGAACAATGAATATAAAAATCTGAAAGAAGCAGAGGCAGACTTGCATGAAGGGATACAGGGGGAAGAAAGCAAAGCCAAAAAAACCCAATATGCACAATGACTACAACGATGTAAACAAATACAACACTAACAAAAACCATCAAAAACTTTTTAAAAAAGACAATGCTAACAGGTAATAAAGTGTAGTTCAAAGACAACAAGCAATGTTGGTATCAAATGATTAAAATTAAAGCAGACATCTTTCCTTTATTTTTAGCAAATCAGTAAGGCACAAAAATGCAAATTAGCATGCATTATCACTGCAATTATTCTATTGGATAATTGTTTTCAAAAAACGTACTTTGTGGGGGGATTGAGTGTCTGTTGGGTAGCGTCTGTTATTCCAAAACAAAATGTATAACAAATTTGCCACCTAGGAAAAAATGGATATTTCCAAGCCTGTTGTATCTAACACTCAATTACTTCTGAGTCACTTCACAATATAGTCAGACAATGGGTTCTTATGTCAAAACAAATCAATCTTAATATTGGCAGTTCTGCAAAATTACAGCCCTTTTAACTTGAAGGAGCAACTTACCAAAGGTGAGTAGGGCAGCAGCTAGCAGGGCTGCTGGCTGGGACCTGGACAGCTCTAGCACGGTGATGTAGGCAAAAGGGATCAACCAGGAGCCCAGGAAAGCACAGAACTGTCAGGGGAGAGCAAAGGTGAGGAGGAACAAGGAATCAATTGCCAGGAAAACATACAAAGCATTAATGACTGGTATTATTGCCTCATAACACATGTGAGTTGGCTAGTACAGATTACTTACAGATGAGGACACTGAGGGTCAGAGAAGTAACTGTCCCAGGGTCATACAATGGGTAAATAGGGGAGATGTAATTCAAACCCAGATATTCTGACTCCAAATCTAGTCTGCTCCCACACCACAGTCCTTCTCATCCTCACTTGATTGACATTCACATCTTAGCAAAACTTTTCTGGTTAGCACTAGAAAACACTAACTTTGGAAACATGCTTTTTTTTCCCATCTGGACAAGCAGCAAGTAGTATAACAATGTAATGAAAAGTAAAATCAAAAAGTCAACATATATTTATGGAGTACCTCCTGTCCAATATCTGTCCAATGAAGTGAATAAAGCACTGGACAGAAGAGTTCAGTGGTGCTTCTAACTCTACCAGTGACTGGATGGGCCAAATGGGTCCCCAGTTTTCGCATCAATGGTTTGAGGATGTGTAAAGGTCATTATAACAACTTTCCTGAAGTTCCCAAATGTCACAAAGTCTCAAAAAACTCATGTCCTCCCCCACCTCAAAAAGAAAAAACCCAAACCTTATAAGTATTCACAGTGGTCCTCTCATCCCAGCACGAGAGGATGTAGGCTTTAGAGAATGACTGCTTTAAATGACTGCATTTGGTTTCCACTTTTCTCCTCCCAAAATAACCATGCCTCTGCAGAAAAAGTCCATTTCAGAGGACTGGAACATTGGGACACTAGGGAAATCACTCTTGCAATAAATGCAATAACACTTTTGAAAACTGAAAGGAATGTGTTACACATGACTTCAATGTGAAAATCAATCTATCAATAAACATTTATTAAGTGCCTACTCAGGGCAGCTAGGTAGTGCAGTGGATAGAGCACTAGGCTTGAAGTCAGGAAGACTCATCTTCGTGAATTCAAATCTGGCCTCAGCCACTTCCTAGCTGGGTGACCCTAGGCAAGTCATTTCACCCTGTTTCCCTCAGTTTTCTCATCTTTAAAATGAGCTAGAGAAGGAAAAGTCAAACCACTCCAGTATCTTTGCCAAGAACACCCCAAAAGGGGTCACAAAGAATTAGACGTGACAAAGTGCCTACTATATGCCAGGTACTGGGCTAAGTGCTGGAAACAGGTAAAGATATTTAGTCTTCTTACTTCATTCAAACATCCATTCTTCCCAGGTAAGGCCCAAATACAATTTTCTGTTCTACATGGTGTTTAACATAATAGGGAGACTAAAAATTGTTTTAAAAATGAGATCCTCAAGGGCAAGGGATTGTCTCTGTTGTTTTATACAGTATAATGCAAGAGCACATACATGATAATTAACCCAGAGCAGGGATGCAAAAGGATTTACATACACTGTTCAGTGGCTCTAAAATGTTTTTAAATCCTCAAAGAAAAGGATTTTTATAAATGCAATTGAATCATAGAATCAGATTCAGAAAGAGCCTTGTAGGTCATTTAGTAAAGCCCTTTTCTGAAGCCTAAATCCCTTCTACAACATATCTCATATTTGTCATACAGCCTCTGTTTGCACTCTTCCAAAGTGGGGAACTCACTACCTAAAAAAAGGCGGCGTACTCCCTCTTTGGACAGCTCTGAGAAGGTTTTCTTTACTGAGCCCAAGTCTACCTCCCTCTCATTTTCACCCCTTAGTCTTACCTCCACTACCTGGGGAAAAATACAACAGTTTCAATTCTACTCTTCCATATCAAAACTTTTTCAAATATTTGAAGTTCCTGACTGTCCTTGGGTGAGGGTGTAGGCTTTAGTAACAGATGAAGCTTAAGTCATTTGGGTTTCATTAACCAACAAAACCTTACCCCTCTCATCCCAATATAATTGTGATGTTCATATTTGTCCCCAGGCTTCTGGAAAGGAAAGGTGCCATCATAACCACTCAGGTAACCAGCAAGTCCTATAAGCATCTGGTAAGGGGGGAAAAGGACAATTAAAAAGGAAAAAGAGAGAACAGAAGGTAGCAAAATTCACTCTTGTCTTCCTAAACCTCTCCCACCAAACTGTTCCAGCTGCACCCACAGTTTTAGAGCTCCCTCTGCTCACAGATCTAATTAGTAATACCATCTTCTCATGCAGCTTATGTAAAGCAAAGGCCTTTTTGTCTGGAAAGTGCACTGCATGAAACAAAAGTTCTCTGTGCCTAGGAAATGGGATGGGGCTCGGGCTTTCAGACCTGGATTGAGTTCTGAGGATCTATAAAGACCACACATTTGAAAGCAGTGGACACATGAGAGGGAAATGGGAAAATCTGATGAGTTGAGGATAATGAGTTGCTTCTCATTCAGCCTTATTTAATTTGTTGTGAAATCAGAAATGATCACACTGGGGGAAGACAACGGCACATTCTATTTTCTGCCTGAACATTCCTTCCAGATTGGTCCTGTGAAAGGGAAGAGAGATTCTAAAATATGAAAAGAAGAGTTAGAAAGCAGAATGAGAGAGGAAGCTAACAAGGCAAGGTGGAAAAGAGGGAAGAAGGGAGAAGGTAAATGCAGAAGGAGCATCACAGAGGAAAAGAAGAAATATAGCTCACTGAAAAGAAATACTTAATTCTTTGTTATAAGGGATCTCTCTCTGAGGAGGAGAAAGATAAATTTAGAAAATAAAGTAATATAAAAAGAAAAGCTATCAGTACTTAGAGACTAATTCCTAAACAAAAGAGCTCATAAGCTCAATATCCCAAAAGAATTATTCCCGAAAAATTTGAAAGATGAAGATGTGACTTTTCAAACCTCAGCAAATTACTATAAATTGGGATTATGAACTACAAATTCTTAACAGATTAGAGGATCATAGAATTTAGAGCTGAAAAGGGGCCTCAGAAATCATGTTAGAGATCAGGAAATTGTGTCCTCTCACACTAAAGACAAGGAAATTGTGACCCAGAGAGCACAGGTGGAATAAAATAAACCAGGACTGAATCTAGGAACTCTCTCTACAGATCTAATCAGTGCCCTGTTTACCACACCGAACTGTTTACTCTGCCATAAGATCATAGGATTGAGAGCTGGAAAGGCCATTAGAGATCCTCAGCCTCTTATGCTGATTTTTACATCTCCTCTGTAATGGATAATATAAAATCCTCCTTTAGATACATACACCAGTCTTTGTGGAATTATCCAGAGAGCAGCTGAAGTATCAGTCAAGAGCGTCTAGAGCAGATTAAAAAAAAAAACAAACATGACTACTCAGTCCAACATGGTGCCCAGGGCCTGAAACAACCTATATTGGAAATAGAATACAGAGTAATGAGTGGCTTCTTTAAAAACAACAACTCCTAGAAATACTAGAGTATGTACTGCTCAGGGTATTTTATCCAAAACACAAGAATTCTTGGTTTTCAGAAGTAACTGTAAGCAGTTTGGCATAAGCTTGCCACAAAAGTATTACCCATTGTCGGAGAGGATGAGCAGGCAGAGTCTCTTAAAAGAGGGATTCCCGATAGGTGGTAAAGTATTCCACATGTTCCTGTCTGTGGAAGCTGTGGTTCTGACTACATCAAGCCCCAGGATACTTCAGAGGCTCCTTCAGAGCCTCCTAAATGATGAACCGCTCAAAAAAGTACAGCCCGACAACCAAGGAAAAAACAAATGGAAGAGGAAAGCCTACTGTCCAGACTGTGACAAGCAGCTGGATGGACGGCTCATCACACGTTGATCCTCCAGGGATCTTTTCTATCTAGACATTGAAATGGGCCCAGGATTGAAGAAGCAGAAAAGTATGGCCTGGATTACATCTGGGATCTCACCTAACACCTGTAGTGCCTCCAAGCTTCTCCCTAAAATAAACACACATCCTTTTAACACCAATAATGCTTCAGTGAAGCTGTATGGTTGCAATTCATGAAATAACCCAATCTCCAAAGAATCAAAATGGTGGGCTGCCCAAAGGGCAATCGAGAGACACGTGGTGGGAGCAAAGAGATTACACTACATTGCCAAAGACAAAGTCCAAGCAAGGAACATTGTAGACACTATCAAAGAAACGCATGACCTGAAAAAGGATGTGGGCAGGTCACATAGCAATGATGTCAAGGGACCTTGAGGAAGGTCCTAAAGCACTGTATAGACAGTCCCCTTGAAGAATTTATGAAACCAGCAAAGATAATATAAGATAGGAAGGTTTGGATAGGAAGAATACAAAACATTAATGGGAATGCTCATAAATCCATTAAAGTAAATTCTGGGGAGAAAAAAAAAGAACTTTGAAAAGGTATTTAGGTCTGAATCACAGTTTAAGGGTTAGGATGATGCAATCTGAATCTGAAAGGCTTTTAAAGCAAGAGATTCCAAGGTACAATAAATTCGTTTACTTTGTACCCATGTGTATCCATTCCTCAGCTAAGTGCTGTAGGAAATAGTACAAGTAGAACAGTTTACAAAAGTTTCTAACTAAATCAGGAACTGTGAAATTATTATTCCTCTAGAAACATTGTTCTAAACAGGTTCCCAGTCCTGACCACAAAAGACTAATCAATGATAGAGCTACTATAAGGAGGTGCCAGAGTTCTGAGTCCCTAGGAACAGAGCACAAGAGAAAGGAGAATTTCTTGTCATCTGCTTTCTTAGTAAGCAGGGGCAGCCCTTGGCAGAGAGCTGTAGTTACCAGGAATTTCTGAGCCTGACACGAGCTCCCAAAGCCATGCCTTCAGCTGGGGTTGGGGGAGGCCAAAGGAAGAGCTCACTCCAGTCTGCCTCCACTTCCTATTTTAATTATTCTCGCTAAGTGGTCATCTCTGTGGTTTCTTGCAGAAGAAGGAATCCATGTAGAAAATCAGTGGTTCAAAGCCCTCTAGATTCAGTGCCCTGGAACAAGCCAGCCCCACTCTAGTTATAGTCTTGCTGAAACAAAATTTTGAAAGTATATCTTCAGCAATCTCCCACCTCCTACAGCCTTATACTTACAGGCTAACACCACCACCACCACCATGTTCCTCTATGCCCTTATGATCAAATGAGATATTACTTATAAAGCGCTTAGCACCATGCCTGGCACATGGTAGGTACTTAATAAATGCTTGTTCCCTTCCCTCTTACTCCACCCCCCAAGCTGTTCTAAAGTCTCCACTGTATACCATAGTTAAGTTTACCATAATCCTAACCAAAAGCAGTACATGATTCAAACCTACCTTCCCTATCCCTCCACCAAATGAAAACTTCCATTATCTCAGTACACCCAGATGTGCCAATTTGACTAAACTAATTTACACAAATGCATAAATAGCTGGTAAACCCTTAGCCCTCACATACTTGTTTGTAATTTTATAAACAGATTCATGGAAACCCAAATGATTCTCTAGATGGTAGGATTTTAGGGTAGTATGACAAAGGGAATGAAGCGAAAAATACCAGAGTTTTACGTGGAGTTTTATGTGTGTCCAAGCTATTTTTGCGTAGGAAGAATACTATCTTGGCAAGTCAGCCTTGATTCAAGGTCCAACCCCAAATTAAGCTCCCCTAAATTATTCCAGCATTTCACAAATTCTTTCCTTTTTCTATTTCAAAGCAGAGAAAAAACCCAAACCCACAGATTCTCAGAAAGCATGTTTTTTTCCCCTCATAAATGCCTGGGAACTACAGCTCAGGATGGGAGAGGTTGGGGGCCATGGAGAAGATAAAGAGAGGGCTTCCCTAGCTGACTGTTCGTAATTTGGGGACTACCTGTATGTGACATGGTAGCCACCCCAGCTAGCCAATCAACCATACAACTAGCTAAAGAGACTTCCCAGCGCACATAGAAAAAAACAGAGCTCCTCACCTTCCCCAGAGGCGGGTGAACATCAAAGAAAAAGGTACGATTGATATAGTAACTTCCCATTTTTCCAAAGTGAGTTTCATCCCAACTGGAGCAAAATGAAAAGAAAAAGGTGACTTAGTAATAGCAAGCTACCCAGCTCCTGCCTTAAATTTGCCCTGTATAAGTCATGTCATTGATCAAAGTGTGGATGGTTTTACTTTTCAGCTCTTACTTCCTCTCAGTCTCCCCAGAAGTTCAGGGGAAGGTGGTGGCGGTAGTGGTGTGAGATAGTTTTCTACTGATTTTTCGATTCCTGAGTCAGGTTCTGTAAGCATGAAGTTAACCCACACCCCACACATAAGCTATAAAATGTGTTTTTATTTCTCATAAAACACGGACGTTCCAGGTTGCAAATATCATTAGGAGTCAAGACTGCACTACAAATATCATAACTTTAGCAAATGAACAGATGGGTATTTCCAAAGCCATACTTACAGGACTGTGCATTAATCCTGTTCTTTGCTACAGTTTCTCTCTCCTGCTCCATCTTTCACACTGTTACATGGTTGTTATAATAACCAAGTGGCAGTTTGATTCATTTGTCAGTTAAAAGTTGCACTAAAGTCTCTCTGATTGAAGCCCAATTTTTTTAACCTTCTTAGAAGCAGGCTACAGACTTCTAAAATGTCTCCCTCAGTTCAGTCCTCTCAAACTAAATATTTAAGAAGAAAACCAAGAACACTCTTTTCCTAGATGGCAATTCCAGGCCTGGTTTCCCACAAGCATAATCACCTCCCCTTGATGTGGGAATAAAGGCAAAAAATATCTCTTTACTGCTGGTGCCTAAAAATTTAGGATAATACCAGTGTGAAAACACTTGTCTCGATGCCTTCCCCAATATCATTAGGCTAAATTCATTGCACATAGATGGCACTGAAGAAATCCTAAATGCATTAAATGGTTTCTGTAATGATGGTTAATAAATGGGGGAGGAGAGATCTGAAAGCACTTTTAAAATATATTCTAGCAACACAGAATTATTCTCTTTCCCTAGGTAAGAAATCCTATTCAGATGAACAAACTGGGTGGAGAACTAGTGTCTCAGCCCTTAAAAATCCATTCATTCAACAGGTGAAAACTTTTGGCAGACCGAGGCTGACCCACCCTTTCACTGGCAGGCCTCACCTCCAATCACGTCCCGCCCCCTTGGCCTGCTCAGCCAATCAGACGGCTACTCGTCCCCTCCCCGTTGCCATGGCGCCCCGGCCTCTCACCAGACGTGCGCTGGCTCGTGCAACCGGTGGAAGCGAGTGGCGAAAGCCAGCGAAGTGATCGTGGCCAGCAGGACCCATCCCACGGCCTGCCCGGGGGGGCTTTGGTCTCGGTGGCGGAGGCTGCTTAGAGCACAGGCCACCATCCCCGACGGCCAGCTCCGGCCCTGACACTGGAACCCCGGGAGCCTTCGCCCTGCAGCGGCCCCGACGGAGGCGAAGCCCGGACTCAGCTAGGCCTACGCCCACAGCTGCCGGGCACATCCTTCCTCCGTTCTCTCCAGGCCCTGAGACAGACCCTTTCTCCTCGCCCGCCTCAGCATGAGGCGGCCTGGGAAATGTAGTTCTCCCTTTGCTTGCCCCGCCCCTTAAGCGGAGCAAAATTGATAGCGTGGGGCATTGTGGGAATAGTAGTTCTTAGTCGGCACCCCGGAAGTCTTGAGTAAGGCACGGGACACTATGGGAGAGGTAGTTCTACCTGCTGTCGCGTTAGGAAGGAGAGAGAGAGAGGAAAGAGTAGGAGGGACTACTACTCCCAGGAGCGCGAGGGAACTCCCAGACTATAAAAGGCATCTAATCCAGCCGCTATTATTTGACAAATTAAGACACTGAGGCCCCTGACAAGTCAAGTGGTTTGCACACGCTGTCCGGCGGGGTCCCAATCGTGGAGTTTCTTGAGCACAGAGAGCTCCAAGATGCAGGCAGGAAAGGTCTGTGCACAACGAAAGGGGAGGGCTTAACGGAGAAGCAAAGGTGCCTGGGGCGGGGGAAAGGGGTCCAAGCTTCTGATTCTCTCCCGTCTCCCTTTCCCCTCCCCCTTCCGCCCCCCCCCCCGAACTAGGCCTAGCTACCGGAAGGCGCCCTTTGTCTCTCCGAAGTAGAATAGCGAGTCCAACACACTAAACTCGCGGTGGCCCCACTGCACCCTGGGATATGTAGTTTCGATGACTCGAGCGCTTTAAAAAACCCTCTACCCGGACTAACCCTGCAAATGTCCGGAGTCGCACCACAGCGCCCTCTGGTGGGAGGAACCATTGAGGCCCAGAAAGGGGCTTGATTACTCATAAAGACAAGAAAAAAAAATCAGTCACAAAATCAGAACTAATTATAATCATTTCTGTAATGCTTTAAAGTTTGCAAACTACGTGACAAACATGTCATTTTATCCTTTCAAAACCTAGGAGATAGGCGGGATTATTATTCCCATTTTGCAAATGAAGAAACTGACGCACAAAAAGCTTAAGAGACACAGTTGGTAACAGAGACAGGATTTTAACTAGGGTGTTTATCAGCAGTCTATCCACCTAGCAGCTCCAAAACCTAGAAACTAGGTCTCCTGACTCCTGTCAAGGCCTTAGAGATGCTAATTAATGTCCCTCCTTCCAGAGGCCTTTCCCAATTCTTGTAATTTGGAGGGGTTTCTTTCCTGTATGAATAAGTGTGGTAGGATGGTTAGTGAGCCAGCCTGAGAGCTAAAAGGAACTGGGTTCAAATCCTGATCGTAATGCATACTGTCTGACAGTTCGTAAGATGAGGGGGTGCTGACTTGCCCTGGTAGAAGGTGTTTCCTATACTGGTAAAATCACAGTCCCTATTTCTATCCTGCATTGCCTTACCTGCTCTAATAGAATGTGAGTTCCTTGAGGACTTTGGTATTTGTATTTGTATTCCTGAGGCCTAGCACTTAGTAATAAGTGCTTGGTGATTGATCTCTTTGCTCGGTTGACAGGGCTGAGCCTGATTAAATTGGTCAAGTAGACAGTCCCATGTGCCCAATTTCCTCATGTTCCCCTTTACTTTGAACCCTGACCCCAACACCTTGGCCTTCCTCCCAGTGGCCCATGCTCCTAAATTTAATAAGCCTCTTTCTTTGCTGCAGCCAGTGTTCTCACCTCGTCAACCCAGAAGAAATTAATCTAATAAACTAGAGAGCATTAAAGAGTTAGTTACTGATAATAGGGCAGCTAGGGGCCCATAGCAGGAGAGGAAAAGGGTGGTATTAATGGAAAGAAGGCTAGACCTTTAATCAGAAGACCTGAGTTGGAATGGCACCTCTAATACTTATCAGCTGTGTGACCCTGGAAAAGCCACTGAAATCTCCTTAAGCCCCAGTTTCTTCATCTGTAAAATGCAAATAATATTTCCACTACCTAACACAGCTTTGTTGTAAAAATGCATTGTAAAAAAAACTTTATTAAAGTACACTATAGGTGTGAGTTATTATTATAGGTGCCTCTAAAGGCTACGATGCTTTCACCCATGGGAATGACTGTCTAATGATGACATTTCAGGTGGTAGAGATATTTGAGGATTGCCTCTTCCCCAAAAACAAATTATGGCAAGATTGAAGTGGACTGGCTTCACTGAAGTCACAGTCCCCAAAAGAGGGAAATAGACCTAATCTAAGGAGCTTTGAGGACATTTTTCTCCTTCATTGTTTTGTGAAGTTCTCCTCCTCAGCGTCAAAATCCCCCAATGATTCCTAAAGACTTTCCCTACTCAAAAAGTATCTTCCACTCTGCAGCCTCAAATTGGGCCATTATCAAATTTATTCTTTGTCATTCCTATCACATTTTTTAAATGTTACCTTGTGTTAGAAACTTGATACCATGATTCTTTTCCCTTTTTTTTTTTTGGAGGCAATCAAGGTTAAGTGACTTGTCCAGGGTCACACAGCTAGGGTCTAAGGCTGGATTTGAACTCAGGTCCTCCTGAGTCTAGGGCTGGTGCTCTACCCACCACACCATCTAGCTGTCCCCCTAGTCTTCTAATCAACCAGTTGATAAATAAGCTTTTATTAGTTGGTTTTTTTTAAATTTTTTTAAATATAAATTTATTTATTTTTAGTTTTCAACATTCACTTCCACAAGTTTTTTGAGTTCCAAATTGCTCACCCCTCCCCCCACCCCAAGATGGCATGCATTCTGAATACCCCTTCCCCTAGTCTGCCTTCTCTTCTATCTCTCCCCTCTCCCTTCTCTTGTCCCGTTCCCCTTCTATTTTCCTGTAGAGCAGCATAGACTTCTCTACCCCATTTCCTCTTTCTCTTATTTCCCGGTTGCATGTGAAAACATTTTTTAATAAGCTTTTATTAAATTGGTGCTGTGTACCAGGTATTGCTCTTTGTTCTTTCCACACAAACTCCTTTTACTCTCTGTTATAGGCCACACTTATATCCTTATTTCCCTCAGTTGCTCAAATAGGAAATGGAAGAGGCAAATATCCCAGCTCTCCCTATACCTATGAGGAAGTTGATTGATTGAAGACCCCTACTCTGTTCCAATCAGTATCAATCAGTTTGATGTGATTATAAGTTCCGTATATTTGGCCCCAAAGCTATGAGCTTCAGATGGTAAAATCACTTGCATAATCATGGGAAGCTGTCGAAGGCCTTCCACCCTTGTTTTTCCCTGTTGTGGTGACCAAGCCCACTCAACTACTCGGAAAGCCCCCCAGCATTGTTTTTGTGCCTGTGAACCATTCTCTTGTCCAACGTGAGCAGGCGTCCACCTTACAACCGCCTAATCAGTGGAGATGTTCCCTGCTTTGCTGATATATTGTTTTGCTTATTTTAGTTGATGCATCATATGTCAACCAATGAAATTATTCTGTATCTGGTATAGCTGTTCTTGAATGTTTAAATATCAACCTATAAAAATAGGGCCCTGGAAAGGAGGGGGCATCTCAGATCATGAGGAAAATCTGAGGTCTACTTCATGAGAGGGGACCATGGACCCTTTAGTAAAGTGCCATTGGTTCAGAGCTCTGCCTCAGTTTCTCTTATTGTAGGTTGGATAATTTTTATCTTGACACCTATAATCATTGTCCTCCTAGGGTCCAGTTTTAAAATATAAATACCCCCATCAAACCCCCAACATCTTAGAGTGAAAGAATTTATCTAATTCTTTAGAAGTGGAAAAGCACTAAGGATCTGGGAGGGAAAAAGTAGTGAAAGGCCATAATAGGGAAGGGGGGGGAAGGTGCCAAAAAGACACACATTGCTTCATCGTTGTGCCTTAGGCCGACTCATTTTGTGCAGGAAATGGGTTCAGCAATCCAATGGGAAGAATGTTGAGAAAAGGAAAACCCACCAAGACTGGGACATTAGATTTCCTATCTTTCCCAGACCCAAAGGCTGACCACAGCATTGAGCCAAGTAGGAGAATACTAGCTTCCCCATTGGCTCCTGAACCCCACCCCCTTATTAACTCCTCCCTTCACCAAGCAGATTTTGAGGGCAGTTGCTCTGTTCAAGGGTCATAAGAGCAGAATGGCAGTTCCTGAGAAGGTAAGGCTTCCTAGGAGCCCCAGCGAAATAGAGGCCCTTTGACTCTCGGTGAAGACAACTTCCTGTCCTCAGAAACACACTCCTCTCTCTTCCCAGTCCACCCCAAAAGTGAATTGCAGCAGGATTGGAGTAGATTGGCTTCACTGAAGTCCCAGTCCACAGAAGGGGCAAATAAACCTGTGTGACCTAATTTGAAGAGCCCTGGAGCCTATGTCTCTTCCCCAAAATACCTCCTTCATTGTTTTGTGAAGTTCTCCTCAGCAGCAAATCCCCCAGTGCTTCCTAAAGACTTTCCCTACCCAAAAATAGCTCCCACACTGCAGCCTTAGATTGGGCCATTATCAAATTCATTCTTTGTCATTCCTGTTACATTTTTTAAATGTTACCTTGTGTCAGAAACTTGACAAACAGCAGATCATCTGTTTGGCTCTTAAAGCCCTTCACAGAGCACCAATGGCTCCTTTCCTACCCTTCTAGTCTTCTTACACATTTCTCTCCTCCATTTATTTATTTTGCTATCCACCCGGCTCCTTTTATCATCTGTCTTGAAGATCTGAATGTACCTTGGGAAGCTCTCTTTGCTCCCCCAAGGTTTTCAGTGACTTCTCTCTCAAAGCAATGCAAAATCTACCTATTCTGCAGGCCCACTGCCTACCTGGAGAGGGAAGCGAGGCATCCCACTCCGCTGGCCCTGGAAAGAGTTCTGTGACTAAGACCAGAAAACACAATTAAGCTTCTCTCTTTCTCTTCTCAGCCGGTCCTCTATTCTTATTTCCGAAGCTCTTGTTCCTGGAGAGTTCGAATAGGTAAGAATGGTCTCCCCTGCCCATGCCCATTCCCGTTCCCATATTCCTGGAGAAACTACAAGGGGGAATGGGGGGGTGGAATCAGAGGAATCCAGCAAAATATAGGAAGACAGAGCCCAAGTGCACTGCTTTGGGGAACATTGACAGCCCATCTCTTCTACAGTCTTTCCAATCTGCCAAGCCTTACCAGTTGCTGGGTTCCTGCAGAAAAACAGAAAGGGGTGGGGAAGGGCATTATTTTTCTGCAGTAACTGTTTCTTCTCTTCCCCCTTCTCTCTAGAGCCCCCTTAAGCAATGTTACACTGACCCTAGTAGAACGCAGCTGTGCTAGCAGCACCATCTTTGCTAGGGGCCAGGGACAGGGCCTGGTTTTTATCATTTTTGCTTTCCTTGCCAGGCGCTTATCTTATTTGATTTTTCTACCTAATCAGACTAGGCAGGTCAATGTCCTGCAGAGAAAGACCTTTAGATTCCTGCAGGCCTGCTGGAAAAAGAGGAAGGATCCAACAGAGGTGGGGGTGGGGACCAGGTGAGAGCAGGGCCATGCAGTTGTCAGAGCTAGCCAGACATTGCTCCAATGGCGCCATCTTTGTGCCGTAATCGTTAACTTACTGAGCTTGAAGTCCAAAAGAACTGTGTTCTTATCTCATTTCTGACACTATCTGAGTGTGACCATTTGCAAATTATTTCATCCCCTCCGGCTACCTTGTCTGTAAAATGGGGACGTGAGGTTCTAGAAGATAACCTATGGAAAGCAATTTGTAAGCCTTCAAGTACTATATAAATAAAAGTTATTATTTGACTCTAAAGCAATACACCCACCCACACACACACACACCCAACAACCAGCACCCCAATAACAGCTTTGCCTTTTAAACCTAGCTGCCACCTTCTGTTTTATGGGTAGAATCTAGAAATCATGACATCTTAGAAGCCCAAACCCCTCTTTATTCAGCAGCCTTTTCTGCAACATCCCTATCTGGGATCACACCAGCTTTGCTTGAGCATTACCAGTGTCAGGGAGTTTGCTGTTTCAAGAGGAAGACTTTTATTTTTCCAACAGCTGAAACCGATAAGAAGTTTTTCCTTATTCCAAATGGAAATCACCTTCCCTGGAACTTTCCATTCCCTGGTCCTGAGGGAGACCACCAATACTTACATGAGGATGACCGCAGGCCACATATTGACTTAGTTTTAAAATGTAATAATTTCTATTTTTTTATTGTATTTTTATTTATTTTGTTAAATATTTCCCAACTATGTTTTAATCTGGTTTGGGTCAAACGTAGGAGCCTGTGTTTGATACCTCTGCTCTAGAACAGGGGTTCTTAAACTTTTCTGGTGTCATGGACCCCTTTGGCATTCTGGTGAAACCTATGGACCCCTTCTCAGAATAAATGTATGTTTTTAAAGGCATAAAATACATAGAATTGAAAAGTAAGCCAATTGTACTGAGACCTAGTTATTAAAAAATTTTTTTACACAAATTCCCAGATTCCAGGTTAAGAACCCCTGCTTCAGAACAATACAGAATAGATCTCACACCTCTTCCATATGACAACCCTTCAGATCTTCAAAGACTGATGATCAAGGGAGTTCTGGCTTATAGGACCAACAAGATGGTGGACTAGAAACTTTTCCCATCCCTCCAATTCTTAAAAAAAAAAACTCAAGAAGTAATTATATGCCATATGTAGATTGTCCTGTGGATTCACAGGACAAAAAACAGAAAACTCTGACAAGATAAACTGTTACCAGAAAAAGTTAATCTTTAAAGAATTCATTCAGCACCCTCTGCATTCTGGGCCGGGACAAACTGATCACATTGGCTAGTACATAGTAGGCTAATTGGTTGACAAGCCTCTGAATTCTGAGTCATGTACCTTGGACCCATATTTGGGTCCCCCCCCTTCTGCTTCAGGGATTTTGCTGGCATTCCTTACACCCTGCCCTACCTCCACCCTGAAACAAGCAGTGGAAATGGATCCTGCTTAAGGAGTGAGGGGAGTGTGCTGACTTTTGAAGTCCCTATGACTCTAAGCCCTGGAGGCTGCAAAGATTCTGAGTGGAATGTTTTCCCACCCTCTCCCAACCCTGCAAAGAGTGGCAGGTGCTAATTCAGCTCAGCCCAAAAAAGGAAAGGACAAAGGGTCTGTCATGAGCGGCTGCATCACACTTGAAAGAAAAGAGACTAAAACTCAATTAGTGTTGGTCCTTCCCATTAAATACTACCTAGGGCAGCGACTAAGGTCAAAGAACGTAAGTCTCTCAGTGTAGGAGGAAGGAAGCTGCTTTGCAGCCCAATTCTCAGTGTATTCACCCCAAGTAAAGAGGGAAGAGTCAGAAAGTGATCGATGGGGAAATATAAGGAAGGAGGAAAAGGCTAACACACCAAAGATTTCAAGAAGAAGAAAAACCTAGACCACAAGCAAATAAAGCAACAGAGAGCATCCTCAACCTGAAAGGGAAGGATGAATACTAAATCTTCAAAGACAATACAATGCTCTTAACAAATATTACAAAAGAAAAGTAAACTAATGCCTAATGAAACACAGAATCCTGTATAATCTCAAGAAGGCGTGGAACTACAACAAGAAATTCCCGAATAGTTCAAAAGAAACTAGGAATATGATGGAAGTTATAGTTCTCAATGCAGCAATAAAAAAAAAAATCAATTATCAGATTAGAAAAAAACTGAATCCAGTTCCTAATCTAGGAACTACTGACTTCAGCTTAATGTACCAGTGGTTCAGAAATTTATTTATCTTCGGAGACATCGGTGAACTATTTGGGACACGTGGAACAATGAATATTAATCTTCTCCACCTCCCAGCTTCCCTCATCCAGTCACCTTACCATTCATGTTCTACCGCAATTACATGTCTGTATACCCAAAACAACACTAATCCATTTTCCAAACGCTTGCCAGCCATGCTCTTTTCCTTCTAAGGTGAGGTATTCAACACCCTCCTTGTCTAAGATTGGTAAAGGCAAACTCAGGTTTTTGGACGCTAAGAACATCACAAGCTATTTGGGAGACTTTACTAGGATAGACCAGTGAGAAAAGGGGTGGAACTTACCCAAGAGAACTTGGTTTCCTCTTTTCCGCATTGATTTATGGTGCTGAGCAGATTACCCTAACCAGAGAAAGACTTTGAGAAACACTGTGTTCTGAGGTAAGATGAGGTACTGCCATTTTAAAAGCACCTTCCCTTGAGTGGTTGGTAACACCTCTTAAGCTGCTTTAGAAAGCAACAGGTTTATTAATTAGAAGAATTAAGTTCAAATGCCTCTATCACAAGGAGAAATCACTTTCACCCCTTTTGGGCTTCAATTTCCTCATCTGTCAAATGAAGAGGACTGGGCTACATGATGGCTAGGTCCCTTCTACTTCTATGAATCTATACAGTAATCTGTTTCATCTTTGTTGATGAGGGGATGGAGAAGGAGGGGTATTTGTTCTCTTTCAATGTTTGGTGCTCGGGCCAGCTAGGTGGCACAGTGAATAGAACACCTACCCTGGAGTCAGGAGGACCTGAGTTCAAATCTGGCCTCAGACACAACACTCACTAGTTGTGTCTCTGGGCAAGTCGGTTAACCCCAATTGCCTCACCAAAAAAAAAAAGTGCTACAATTTTTGGTGTTCTAGTTACCTTCCTCATCACTCCCACTCTGGAAGGCTTAGGGTACCAGGGTTTGGATTCCTTGACAGGAAACAACCATAACCATCCCATTCATTCAGCACCCGCTTTTTAGGCAGTGTACTGTGCTAAGCTAACGGGAAAGATGACAAGGATGAATAAGGCAAACTGTTGTCCTGGCCCTCCAGGAGGTTATGGTCTAGGGAGAAGTAAGAGGTGTAAATAGAGCTGCCCTATACTGTTGCATAGAATAAGTACTGTGTGAATGGTAATTATAATAATAGCTAACATTTATATGGGTACAAGCCTAGTAATGGAGGCAACTGCATGAATCAGTGGATAGAGTGCTGGGCCTAGGGTCAGGAAGACCTAAGTTCATATCCAGCCTCAGACACTACTAGCTGTGTGACCCTAGACAAGTTACTTAACCTCTGTTTGCCTTAACCCACTGGAGAAGGAAATGGCAAACCACACCAGTATCTTTGCCAAGAATACTTCATGGATAGTATTGGCATGCTATGGTCCACAGTGCAACAATAGCAACATTTATGTAACACTTTAAGGTTTGCAAAGTGCTTTATAAACATCTCATTTTATCCTCACTACTGCCCTAATTTTGTCCCTATTTTACAGATAAGAAAAATGGAGTTAAGTGATTTGACCAGGGTCACTCAGATAGTGTCTGAGTTGAGATTATAAACTCAGGTCCTCCTGACTCTGGGTCTAGTATTTTATCCATGGGGCACCTAGCTGCCTAACTGGTCTGTACAATAAATACTTACACAGTACAGAGGAGAGAGAGAACACTTTGTGCTAAGGTGGCCAGGGAAGACTTGATGAAGATAGTGGGCCTGATCCTTCTAGAGAGAAGAGAAACTCCCTTCAGAAAATTCCTCTTTTGCAGGAGTCTCTTTCCCAGGCATTCCAGCCCAAGGCTGCCTCCTGTAACCACCTCTTTATATGTGTGTTATTTTTCTCATCTGCAGCTCTGGCTCTCAAGAAGATTGACTATGACACCTTTCCTGTTCACCTCATAAAGGATGGAGGGCAGCAGGTAAGAAAGAGTATAATAAGTCCATAGGATGTATGAAGTGCTGAGGTTTTTGGAGGAGGTAGAAAGCATTTCTGGGTTTTGTCAGGATGGGGTTCTCAAGGTAGACTTCATGGAGGCATCGACTTTTGAGCTGGGCTTTGAAGGATGAGTCAGACTTTATTGAACAAAGATAGTAGGGGGGCCACTCCAGGCACAGAGATGAGAAAATGTATTGCATGTTTGGGAAATGGGGAGTAGTTCAGTTTTGTCTATGGGATCCAACTTAAGCTGAGATCATCAATAATAATAATAACAAATAATAACGACTGACATTTATATGGCGCTTTAAGGTTTTGAAAATGCTTTACAGATAATGTTTTATCTTCACAACAACCTCATTTAAGGCCCAAGGTTGGGGCAACAGTGGGATCCCAAATACCAAACCAGTGCTACCCCAGGGGGAGGACTCTTTCACAAGCTGGACTGTGCCAAGGAGAATAGGTCGAAGTAAAGCTGGAAATATAAATTTCTGCCAGATTGTGGAAAACCTTGAATGACAGGTTAATGAGTTTGGCCTTCATTTAGCAGAAAGGCAGGCCAGCCCCAGGAGGAATAGAGTTATCTATGTCCCTCCCCACCAACCTGACTAACCCAGGCTTTTCCTTTTCCTTTGGGACCTTGTGTTCACAGTTTAGTGAGGAATTCCAGACACTGAACCCAATGAGTCAAGTACCAGCCCTGAAGATTGATGGCGTTACCCTTACCCAATCAGTGAGTACTGTGGACCAGTCAGCCCATTACTCATTCCAACAAGAGGGCTGTGAGGAAGCCACTGTCCCTTGCTTTCTTCTCCCTCTCCTCCCCTCTCCCACATACACACGGGAATCAGGCATTTGAATGCCTGAACTCCAGGGAGTTAAGGATTGAACTGCCTTCTTAGCTCCTCCTTCAATGATTACTATCCTCTACTGTCCCAGTACTTGGGCAGGGAAAGGGACTGGGGAAAGGGGGAAGTTGGGGGAAGCAAGCAGGAAAATGAGAAATAATTGGCATCATCCTCACTCCCCCGGGATCAAACACTTTCTCCTTCCTGCCTTGTTTCTTATCCCTGCCCCTTGTGGTTTGCAGCTGGCCATCATCGAGTATCTGGAAGAGACACGACCGACACCCGTCAGGCTCCTGCCACAGGACCCCAAGAAAAGAGCCAGCGTTCGCATGATCTCAGATCTCATTGCTAGTGGAATTCAGCCCCTGCAGGTACAGACCTTTAAAGACACCAGGAGTCACGCAGTCCCATCATGGTACCTGCCCATGGTCCAGAGAAAGATAACAAGGCCACAAGGAGAGGAAACCTAAGTTCAAACCACCTCATGGAATCATGAGATTTTTAGAGACTTCTGACTTTATATAATCTAGCCCTATCCAGTCCAATCCTTTATTAAATACCTACTGTATACAAAGCACTGTGCTACCCTAGGGAAACAAAGACCAAATGATGGGCAATCCCTGCCCTCAAGGAGCTTACATTCTGTTGTGGAGATGAAAGATGTAAACAGATAAGTTTATACCAAGTTATACCAAGTATCCATGGTATTTTGAAGAGGAAAGAAATTACAGTGACAACTAGTAATCAGGAAGTTTGTCCACAGGAGTCAGCGCATGAGCTGAGCGTTGACAAAGCTCCTGAGGCGCTAGAGAAGTGGTTTGCTCTAAGTGTGATGCAGGTTCATCAAAGTCCAGCTGAGAACCAGACCCACTGACTCATAGTCCAAGGCTCTTTTCTACATCACAGTACTTCACTTCCATGGGGCCCAGACTGGGAGTGAATCACTCATTCAGTGACTGTGCTCCTCCATGGAGGCAACGGCAAAGCAAAGACTAGAGAAAAGTCTTGCTGACTTTCCCCTGCGCTTTGCAACTATCTCTAAGTGAGGCTCAATCTAATTATTCCAGAGCTCGGAGTAGGATTACATATTACTTTATAATTTTTTTCCTTATTATGTACTTAAGAAACATCAACATGAATATTTCCTTATACCAAGAAAAACAGAAAAGGAAGTCTGCATATGAAGATGTGGATCATCACTGTATGCAACTTGGTTATTCTCTGTATTTATTTTAAAGCTGAAAACTGCACTAAGGCTTTTGGAATACTCTGTATTTCCAATTTAACATGGTAGTTCTAACATTGCCTTGTTTGTCTCTGTCCCGTTCTGAACTTCCTTCTTATCTCTTCTGTTTATTCTATTTTCTTCCTTTTTTGTGTATCAGTATCATTACCCTCTCACTCACTCTCCAGCTTGCCACTCCATCCAAACCAAAAGGAAATTCTTCCTCGTAACAAATAAGAAGACAGCTAGGGGACACAGTGAATAGAGCAGAAGGTCAAAGGTCACAGTTTAATGGCTTTGGGAATATAACACTAACTTTATTTCCAGAATGGCTGGACTTCAAAGATCCAACAGTACATGAGTGTAGCTGTCTTCCCACAGCTCCCCTAACAATTATCATTTTTTTTTTTTGGTCATCTTGGCCGGTCTAATGGACATGAGGCAGAACTTCAGAGTGGTTTTAATTTTAATTTCTCTACTAATGATTTGGAGCATTTTTTTGTTTGTTTTGTTTTTTGTCAGTGAGGCAATTGGGGTTAAGTGACTTGCCCAGAGTCACACAGCTGGCCGGATTTGAACTCAGATCCTCCTGACTCCAGGGCTGGTGCTCTATCCACTGCGCCACTAGCTGCCCCCGAGGATTTTTTTTTAATATGGTTGCTGATAACTTGGACTTCTGCCCTTAATATTCTTTGGCTGTTTAGCATTTGGAGAATGGCTTTTGTTCAGATCTTTCTTAGGAAAATTTGCTACAACAATTTTTTCCCATTTAACAGTTGCTTTTCTAATTCTAACTGCATTGATTTTGTTTGTGCAAAAACCTTAAATTTTATGCAACCAAAATTGTCCATTTTGTCTCCTGTGATCTTCTCTATCCTTTGTTTAGTCAGTAACTCTTTCCCTATTCATATTAGTTAACAGTATCTCCTCATTTGGTCTTTGTTTCCCTAGGGTAGCACAGTGCTTTGTATACAGTAGGTATTTAATAAAGGATTGGACTGGATAGGGCTAGATTATATAAAGTCAGAAGTCTCTAAAAATCTCATGATTCCATGAGGTGGTTTGAACTTAGGTTTCCTCTCCTTGTGGCCTTGTTATCTTTCTCTGGACCATGGGCAGGTACCATGATGGGACTGCGTGACTCCTGGTGTCTTTAAAGGTCTGTACCTGCAGGGGCTGAATTCCACTACTTATTTTCTGATAAGACTTTTTATCGCCAACTCATGTGTCCACTTGGAACTTGTTGTGGTACATGGTATAAGATACTGGTTTGAACCCAATTTCTGTTAATTTTCCTAGCACTTTTTGTTGACTAGTGAGTCCTAATTTCAGTCGTTCACGGCCGTAGGCTTGTTGGCGACTATGCTACTGAGTTTGTTTCTTGGTCTTGTGCAGATAATCTGCTCTGCTGGTCACCATTTCTACTTTTAACCAGTAGCAAAAAGTTGTGATGATTACTGTGAGGTCTAATAATACTTAGGTAAACCCCATTCCTCCCCACTTGTTTTCATTTCTTCCCTTGATATTCTTGACCTTGTCTTTTTAGTCCTCCTGATGAATTTTTTGTTTTGTTTTATAAACGTAATCCTTTGGCAATTTGGTCGGTATGACACTGAGTCTGTAAATATGTATAGGAAGGTATCATTATTTTTAATATACTGACATGGTCCAGTAAATAATCTCTCTTCAGTTATCTAGGTCTATCTTTATTTATTTTTTTTGTTTGGCATTTAAATTATTTTCATTAGTCAGACTTTAAAAATAGGGAGTGGGTTGCAGAATTGGCAGGCCCGCTGCCCCTACTGATAATAAAGCTCCAGGTTCATTCCATCACAAATCTCATAGTCACCCAGGGAAATGTGGTCCTTGAAGATTGTGTACCATTTCTTCAGAACAGTCTTGTTCCAACAGGTGCCTGTCTGAGCCACAATCAGTTTCTTCAGATCTCCTATCATGTCATCCGTGTTGCACTTCACACGGACCTTCTTGCCCAGCCAGTCATTACACACAACCTCGATCATGGTTCCCTTCACCTTCAGGCACAGCCCCTTCCTCCTATATTTGTTTTTGTAAGTAGTGTTTTTCACTGTATTTGCATAATTTCTGTGTTTGCCTTAGTTTCTGAATTCCCAGATATTTTATATGTTCTCTAATGTAATTTCTCCTTTCTTTTCCTGCTGGGTTTTGTTTGTAGTACATAGGAAGACTGGTGATCTTTCTGGGCTTGTTTTTATATATTACTACTTTACTGAAGTTATTAATTGTTGCTCTTAATTTTTAGGTGATTCTTGAGGGTTATATGCAGAAAGCAATAATGTCATCTAAAAAGTGATAATTTTGTTTCCTCTTTCCTTATGCTTATTACCTTCATGTTTTTATCTTGTCTTATTGCTATAGGTAGCATTTCTTGTATTTTATCAAGTATAGTAGTGATAGTGAACATCTTTGCTTTGCCCTGGTTTTTTTTTTTTTTTGCACTGGTCTTTTTGGAAAGGCTGCTAGCATTTCTCTATTAGAGACAATGCTAGCTCTTGGTTTGAGGAATTACTTACCTTATTAAGGTACAGTCCATTGATTTCTGATTTTTTTTTTTGCTATTTTTAGCATAAAGGGATATTGTATTTTGTCAAAAGCTTTTTCTTCTAATATAATCATGTGACTTCTGTTGTTTAATATTTTTTGTAGTGAATCAACCCTGCAATCCTAGTATAAATCCAACCTGGTCAAAGCATATGATCTTTTTGATGTATTATTGTAGTCGCTTTGCTATTATTTTACTCAAGATTTCTTCATCAATATTAATTAGAGATATTGGCCTATTAATTACCTTTCTCTGACAGCCCTTCTTGTTTTAGGTATCAGGACCATAGTTTGGCAGGATCCTTTTTGTCCCTTTTTTTTTTTCAAACAATTTATGTGATACTGGAATTAATTACCTTTTGAATATTTGATAAAATTCACTTATAAACCCATCTAGTTCTAGGGTTTTTTTCTTTGGAAGTTCCTTTATGGCTTATTCAGTGTCTTTTTCTGAGATTAGGTTATTTCACTTCTCTATTTCTCTATTCTGTTAACCTTTATATATTTTGGACGTATGCATTTAAATTATCAGTTTTATTGGCATATATTTGGGCAAAAATAGTTTCCAATAATTTCCTTTATTGTTTGTTGTGACTTCTCTTTTTTCATTTTTTTTCTTAGTGACGGTTTCTTCTGTTGTTGGGAGATATCCAGTTGGCTAAGGGCTTTTTTTTTTAACCATCTTTTAGTTTTATTTCTTAACTAATTGGGAGGTTTTTATTTTTTATATTTATCTCTTTTGTTTTTTAGAATTTTTATTTTTGTGTTTGTGTTTTTAAAAATTTGTTCCTTTTCTGATTTTTTTTTAGTTGTATGCCTAATTTATTGATTTGGTTTTTTTTGTTGATGAAAGTGTTTAGAAATATAAATTGTCCAATAAGGAATGTTTTGATTGTATTCTAAAAGTTTTGGTATGTTGCTTCATCATTGTGATTTGCTTTAATGTAATTATCTCGTTTCTATGATTTGTCCTTTTACCCACCAATTCTTTAGGATTAATTTATCTAGTCTGCATTTCAGTTTGAATCCTTTCTTCAAAGCCTTTTACTGATTATATTTTTAATTGTGTTGTGGTCAGTAGGGAAGGTGTTTAGTATTTCTAGTTTTCTGCATTTATTGATGAAGATTTTGTGCCCTAGAACATGGTAAAGTTTTGTAAAGTATCATGTAGAACTAAGAAATATGCATATTCTTATTTCCATTCAACAGTCACCAAAGATCTATCATGCCTGACTTTTCTAAAATTCTGTTCAAGTCCTTAGCTTCTTTCTCATTTATCTTTTTGTTAGATTCATTTAAATTTGAAAGGGGCACATTGAAGGCTACAGCTATCATAATTTTACTATTTCTCCCTATAATTGGGTTAACTTTCCCTTTAAGTGCTTAGCTGCACCATTCATTTATTGAATATGTATTAAGTATTGATATTTTTCTATTACATTGGTGTCATTAAGAATGATGTTAGTTTCCCTGCTTATCCCTTTTAACTATGTCTATTTTTTTCTGTTGCCTTGCCTGAGACCATGATTATATAGAAGAAAATTCTGTACTCTGTGTTGTAGGCACAAGCCTGCCAGAAAAATCTTATCAATTAAATTAAGCAAATTCTGAGTATTTTCTACTTAGAGGTCCAAAAATGGAGAGAGTTTCCTGTTGTCTTTAAATATCTCTGATATCCAAGATCAAAGAACTATCTCTGATACAAGCCATTTTGGAATTATAGTTTATATTATTCTCAATCAACAAAATTCCAAAGTCAAGATTAAGCAAAAGTTCAGAGTCTAGGTAACAGTCTCAGAACAGTAATACCTTAAAATGTCAGCGCAACTCAGAAAATCATTTTTATAAACTCTATTTGAGAACTCATTCTAAGCACTCTTCTTTCCACCTAGCCAAAGATCAACTCAACAGATACTTCCATTTACAGAAGTAATAAAAGATTGCTTCCTTCTGTTAGTCTTATAATTACTGCCTGGTCAAGACATAGGAAAAGAGAGCAGTGCTCTTAATTGGAGCAAACAGTGGCCTCCTTGCCTTTGTCTGATCACCACCCTGACTTCATCATCCAACATAGTTCCTCTTTGTATTTTCACTCAGTTTCCTCCAAGGAAGTGGTTAGGCCTCTGGTAAGGGGGGGGGGGGGAGATTTAGTGCAGAACATTGTTTTCCTAAAATTTTGATTAAGTATTAATAATTTTTCTCATTTAGGTGGGACCAAAGACTTGAGACTAAAATAGGGTCCTAATATTATTTTTAAAAGGCAATGGGGTGGAATGTGGGGTGGAAGGAGCACCTCAGTGTGCTTTCACGATTGCTGCCTTTGCTTTTTAAAACTTGTCCAAATCATAATAAATTCTGCTCTAGCTCCTCAGTTTGACTTCGTGAGAATCTTTAGTATTCAAGTGTGTTGCTTATAAACAACATATTATTGGTTCTGCTTTCTAATTCATTCTGCTACCTTCCTTCTTTTTATGAATGAGTTCATCCTATCCAAGTTCATGGTTATAATTATTAATTGCATAATTCCCACTATCATCCCACTAATATCCCTCTTATACTTCTTTACAATGAAGAAAGGGGTAGAGAAAAAGAAGGGATCTGATCAACACTAGTAATCCTTAATTAAAAATAGTCTTTTCCTACTCCTCTGCCTCTCCCCCCCGCCCATACATCTCTTACCAGTCTCAGACCCTGATCTCTGGTTCTTATGTTTTCTTTTTAATCTTCTCTTTATAATTAACCCTCTGAAACTGAAGCTTATTTTGCTTGTATCTATTCTCTCTACAACTCTACTCTGACTCTTTATCCCACCTCCCCTTTTCCTGTTTCCACCTGTTTGCCTGTTGAGTTTAATGTATTTCTACATACTCTGTGTGTATGTGTGTGTTCAGCCCTCCCTTATGCAGTTCAGATAAGAATGTCATTATTTATGCCTTCTCCCCACCCCTTCTTCCATGTTTAAATACTTTTCTCATGCACCATATTTACCTGAAATAGTAAATTCCTTCTCCATTTTCCTCATTTGTTCTCTAGTGTATTCCTTGTCCCCTCCCTTTTCTTTCCTTTCTTAAAACTAACAAAACAGAGCATGACCACATGAAGGCCTCATGTTTTTTTCATTTAACTTCTTTTAGGATTCTGAAGGGACACTTATCTCTTCTCTCCTTATTAGAATGTAGTTACTTTATCATTGTTTAGCCCCTTCTAGTAGCTCAAATGTATTTACTTTTCTTGATCCCTTTGTTCCCATTTCAGAGTTTCTTCTCAGTGGTCTTTTCCTCAGAAATTCTCAGAAGTCTTCTGTTCTATTAAAGGACATTTTTACTTCTATAGGATTGTACTCTATTTTGCAGAGTAAGTTATTTTTGGTTGTAAAACCTTTAGCTTTTACCTTTTGGAATATCATATTCCAAGATTTTCTCTTTTTTATAAGACTTGCTGCTAAGTCTTGTATACTACTTGTGGCTCCTTAGTACTTGAATGATTTCTTTCTGGCTGTTTGCAGTATTTTTTCTTTGACTTGGAAGCTCTTCATTTTGACTTTGACACTACTTGGTGTTGAATTTTAGGTTTTCTCTTTGGAAGTGATTAGTGAATGTTTCTTGGTATAATAGATCTAGGCAGTCTCTTTTATTATTTCTTGAAATATGGTGTCTCGGTGTTTTGTTTGGTCCTGATTTCCAGGAATTTATAGTTAATTTGTGAAATTGAGAAATGGGGACCAGCACGTCCAATTCTTTGAGTACTTGCCAGTAACATGACTGGCAAGGGAAAACCGGGTGGCTTTTAAATCACACTTTAGCCAAGTGGTGTGGGAGCAAACAACACAGCAGAGACAAGTGGCAAAAGAGATATAGAAGCAGACAGCAGAAGAAAGAATGATGAAAGGAGGCAGGTGAAATGGGGAAGATGATGGGGAGGAGGAGAGGGAGAGGCACAGAGTATCACTCATGTGCCCATTGAATAGAGTTGGAAGCACTTAGCATCATGGGCTTGATAGAAATGGAAGAGTGCTTGGGGGGTAGGAGTTTGAGGTCTCATTTTTACCTAGTGTTTTTGGAAGACAAACTTACTCTTACCTGTGTCACCTTGGTGTTAGTTCATGAACATATCCAAATCATGTCAGAGTTGTTGCTAAAACTTTGAAGTTAACGTGTCCACATCATCTCAAAATTATCAGCACCATTTGATGTTCTGTTGGTCTTTACTGTGGAAGTCTGGAATTTTTCTGGGATTTACATATCATAGGACCAAAGGCCCTGACAGTAGTGCCTAGATGGTGTCTGCTAATTCAGCACATATTACCAGGATGTGAGTTTTGGTTAATATATGATACAGTTTGTAAATGATCTTAGGGACAGTTTGTGTGTGATTTCCAGGTTTCCATTTGCAATCTTATTTCTTGCTATTGCCCATTTATATTGGCTACTTATAAACTTATTTATTACTAACTGGAAGGGGAAAGGTGGTCAGGGGGACCAGAACAATATACAGTTTTAACACAGAGTCCAATGATTTTAAGTTTTCTTGGTCATTCGTTTTATAATATGTACCTTATAATTTTTTCTGTCTTTGGACTTTGTTCTGATATTTCTTATGCCATAAAATTATTCAGTTCTGTTTACTTCATTCTGTTTTTCAGGGAGTCTCCTATTTGAGTGAGGTTTTCCATATTCTAAACTATGCATTTTCCTTTCTACCTTTTCCTGAACTCTGATATCATTTATAATTTCTTTTTTTTTTAACTTTTTGCTAATTTCTTCCAGTCCCTTTTTGTAGCCCTTGTGGCTAAACGTTTTTTTCCTCCAAGACTGTGCTTGTTGCTGCAGATTTACTCTCTTCTAGGTTCAAATTTGGGGCTTCTCTCAACCATAATATTTCTGTGTTGTGTTCAGTTTCCTTATTTTCAGCCTCAGTTCTTGTGTTGATATTTTGTGCCCAGATCCATCCCTTCTGGCACTCTCAGATGGTTAGGACTTGTGTAGGCCTGTCCCTTCTGTAGACTGGGTGTCACTGCTGCTGCTGATCTGGATGGGGTGGCTGGTATTAAGCCTATCGACCTCAATTCCCGACTCCCGTCTCCTCTTGCTTCTCCAATAGTTGTCTTCTTTTCCTTGCATAGTCTTTAACAGGAAATTGTTCCATCCCCATCTATGGCCTGGGCAGGCCCCACTGGGATGTTGGGTATCGGATGTCTCAGCCTCCCGCACGCTCTGTAGCAGCAGTGCTCTGACTCCTGCTGTGGCTCCCCGTGCTCCAAAGAGTGCAGTCAGATTTTGTCTCCTAGTAGTTTGGCCTGTGGGGGCTGTTTCTTTCCCCCACTGCTTTTGTGATGGGCCAGGGCTAAGATCTGGCTTTAGAGTCCCAATTACTGGAGTTGTCACTGGCTCATAATCCCCCTATTCAAGTGTTGGAAGGCTTCAGGACAGTTTTGTCTGAAAGGGCTTCTGTCCTCATCTCTATATAAAGTGCAATTACAACTGTCCTTTAGTCTGCTAGGTTATATGTTACTTGGTCTGTCTTCTTCTGGCCTTCATACTTAGTACATAACTATAGCCACACCTATAAGAACTCCAATCCCTAGGCCTCTCGACTCTCCTCTTGCTCCTTTATCACATATCACACCAATGGGTGCAGTTGTGGGGGTTTTCTGGCCACCAGCACTTTGGGCAATCAGAGAAGAAGGTCCCAGGGACCAAGCATCTCCGGAGATCCCATCCCCCAAACCTTGAGAAACTAGGATCGTTGCATAGCAGAACCTCTCAGGACAAGAGGAAGGAATGACCTCTCTCACCCTAGTGGAGAACTATGGATTGCTAGACCACAGGGAAGGGTTGGTGCTGGGTTGGCTGCTAAATCTGACCACTGGATTTCCTTTGGCTTATCAGAACATAGCCGTCCTAAAGAAGGTGGGCCAAGAGACCCAGCTGACATGGGCACAATCAGTCATCGGCTCTGGCTTCAGAGGTAGGTCTCCATCCTGTCCTGCCCTCGTTACAAGGTCCTGATCCTGGAATTGCAGAGAACTGGTCCTGCTCACTCAATACTTCTTTCACGATCTCCCTCTGGCTTCTGTGGTGATAATGATCGAAGAGGCTGGGAAATGGAGGGACTTCAGGGCCAGCAGTTGGGAAGGAGATGGGCTGAACAAGTGGCCAGATTGGTTTAATGAGAACAATTCATCTCAAACCAGTGGTCAAGTCTCAGACCTCTGGTGTTGCCTAGTCTTCCCTTTACTAGGCTACTTCAGTCCATGGCTTTGCCTGAAAATGACATCCAAGAGATTGGGGCCAAAGGAGAGAGAAACCGTGGAATAGAACAGTGCTGTCTTGTGCCTTACTCACTACAGATGGGAGAAATGGGAAACATCTCCCCCCAGTATCCTCTCTGTTACCTTTCCTCCAGCAAGCAAGTTGAAGCTTACCTCGCCCACACACCCCGTCTCAGGCACAGCTGCTGTTCTCCCCATTTATAGGAGAAGCTGAGACCCAAGAGTAATGATGCTGGGCTTCCTCCTTCTTGCCATACATGGAGTCAGAGCCACAGAGCCTTCCCTGATTTTCATTTCCTTCTTTTCACAGCCCTCGAGCAAGTCCTGCAGAGCACAGCAGGGAAGTACTGCGTGGGAAATGAGGTAGGGGCCATCCCGTATCCCCATTGTTCCTTATTCTTGGTCCCTGTCAGAATTTGTTGCTGCAGCTAAACAGGACTTCAGAGAAGTCAATGCTAAAAGCAGTAGGCCCTTGTTTAAGGAAAAGCCTATGAGGGAAGGCTGTTGGCTTAACTGGAGACACCCAAAGTGGGAGGGGCAGGGCAGGGATGAGGGAGGGACACTCGGGAAGTCGAGCTAGGCCCTCACGCTTCAGCTGCGACTGACACCTTCAGACTAGCCAACTGAGCTTCCTTACCCTTGGGACCAGTTGTCTTCAAAGCAGGACAGTGGCAAGGAAAGAATCCTAACTAGAGATGTCAGCAGGAAGCCACTGGCTGATTAAACCTCGGCTGGTTGCCGTAGACAGAGGCTTTGGGGCAAGGGATGGGATTATTCAGGCTTGAGAGGGAAAAAGCACAGTGTATGACTGCTCTATTGATAGGATTGCCAGGGATACAGGCCCCACTGGGATGTTGGGTATTGGATGTCTCAGCCTCCCCCATGCTCCGTAGCAGCGGTGCTCTGACTCCTGCTGTGGCTCCCCGTGCTCCAAAGAGTGCAGTCAGATTTTGTCTCCTAGTAGTTTGGCCTGTGGGGGCTGTTTCTTTACCCCACTGCTTTTGTGATGGGCCAGGGCTAAGATAGGGCCAGGGATACAGTCAGAACCCAACAGGTGTGTGGTCAGGAATCCTGGACCAGGACCAAATTTGACCTTTCTCTGCAGATCTCCATGGCTGACTTATGCCTGGTGCCTCAGGTGGCTAATGCTGAGAGGTGAGTGAGAACCCTGTCCTCCGCCCCACATACCATAGAGAGCCTTCTCCATACGTAAGCAACTACCTTTCCCCTACTAGACCCCTACCTGTCTTTTGTGTGAGTCACACTGGTAGCATCTCAACTTAACTATTTCTGTAATGGAACTCCCCTCCCTCTGCTTGAGAGAGCCAATGAAATGACCTCATGATCGCTGCAGAGATGATCCAGCCCTTGGCTTCTGCTTATGGGAAAGTGAGGGTGCCCACAACCTGGCTCCCTGGGAGGCATCCCAACAGCAATACCCACCAGAAAGTATTCGTCCACTTTCTACAAGTGTTCACTGCCCACAAGGATCCCCTGAATTATCTCCAGAAGTCAGAATGGACCAGGGTCCAGCCTTCCAGTCCTATCCATTCCCTTCCTTTTACCCCAACCCAGCGAGTATCAGTTGAGCTTCTGTTATGTGCAGGGCTCCATTAGACAGTTCCCAATCCCAAGGATCTTGAGTTTTATCTAGAGCAGAGGTTCTAAACCTTGTTTGTGTCATGGACCACTTTGGCAAGCCAGTGAAGTCATCATGGACCCTTTCTCAGCATAATTTTTAAATATATAAAATTATAAAAGAAACCAATTATGTTGAAATAAATTATAAAAAAAAAATTTTAAGTTCACAGACCTCAGGTCAAGAACCCCTCATAGAAAGACAAGATATGAAGAGATAATTCACAAAACCAGACAGGATAAAGACTAACTAACACTGCACTGCCTCAGAAAGGCCACCGCCCTTGCAATGCCCACTTCTGTTTTTTTGTTTTCCTTTAGTCATTTTCAGGAGTGTTCAACTCTTCATAACTCCACTTGGGGTTTATCTTTTCCAAGATGCTGGAGTGATTTGCCATTTCCTTCTCCAGCTCATTTTACAGATGAGGAAACTGAGGCACACAGAGTGAAGTAACTTGCCCAAGGTCACACAGCTAGTAAGTGTCAGAGGCAGGATTTGAACTCAGGTCTTTCTGACTCCAGGCCTGGCACTCTATCCACTAAGAATTTCCCTGACCAGCTAAATGAATATCCAAACTTGCCTCTTCATGCCTCTCCGGTTTGATGTTTCCTTGCTGAAACCCCAGCCTCTGCTTAATGACTTCTGTTCATATTGCAGGTTTAAGGTGGACCTCTCCCCATACCCCATTATCAACCGCATCAACAAGACCTTGCTCACCATGGAGGCTTTCCAAGTGAGCCACCCTTCCCGGCAGCCTGACACCCCTCCAGAACTTCGGGCCTAAATCCTGACATTTCCACCTTAAGGACAACGAGAGTGTGAGCTGCACGGTGTTAATGCCACCAAGATAAATAAATCGTATTTTGTGAAATGAGCCCTGGCTTGGAAGCTGAGAGGCCTAGGTTGGAATTCTAGCTTTGCCAACCACAGAATTCTTCTGGATCTCGGTTTCCTCTTCTGTCAACTGTGAAGATCAATAATACCTGTTCTATTTTCACAGGGTTATGGGGATTGGGGTCAATGCAATCATTTAGGTAAAATGCTTGGAAGATGATGAAGTGCTGAATAAATAAATGACATGAAGTACTGCCTCCTCTTTCTGTAGGCTGCTTCCATACATGTTACATAGCGTGCATTTTTGTTAATTAATCTCAATGTTCATCTATACCCTCAACCCCGGATCCAAGAAGAGTGTCCAGTCAAGCCCAAACAAAGGTAAAGGAGATGAGGCATCTTCATTCTTCCCAAGTAGTATACCAGCTCCTAGCTCATTTAAGACCACGTCCAGTAAGCAATTCTCTGGAATTTTCACAGCCACAGAGAAGTAGTTCCTCCCTGTTTCAGGGGTGATAGGATGGGAAAGGGGGAGAGCAAAGAGGGAACCTGTGCCTTCACTGGATCCAAGAGCTTCTGTTGTGCAGACTCTCTCCACCTAGGCAGATCAATAACTCACCTATAACTTAGTCTTAGAGGGTAGCCTGGGGCAATGAGTTTGAGTGATTTGCATATGGTCACACACCCTATATATGCCCAGAAGAACTTAAACTTAGATCTTCCTCAGCCACTTTGCCATGCTCCATCTGTTTCCATAGTCATGCAAATAAGCCATAGTTTGGGTCCCGAGAGAAATCAGGTGGAACCTTGAAACTAACTAGCTATACGTGGTTGTTCTTTGTCCTTTATTCTCTAAGAGTACCATGAAGTCAGGGAGATGATGCCATGCCATGCAAGTGAACTGGATTTAAGTGAGGCAGGGCTGTGCAAATTTACCAGCCTCACTTTCTCCTCTGGAGCCATCTGGGGTCCAGTGGCAAGATGAAGATATGGAGATGGCTCCCAATGCAATGGGAGACCTTGTCCTTTTTAAACTAAGGTCTTTCCCAGGTCTCAGTCTGACTGAAGCAATGCCCATTCAGTGACTAAGGCTAGGTAAGAAATGAGGCAAAGAATGGCCTCTTTTACCTAGCCAAAAAAAAAAATATATATATATATATATACACATACACACATACACATATCTATGCATATGTATGTATGTATATATATACACATTTATCAATCTAGGAGGTCACCTACACACACACACACACACACACACACACACACACACACACACACACACACACATATTCTTATCAATCTGGGAGGGGGAGAACCTCAGGATTTCTGGCCAAAACAAACAACTGCTATTTACATTGGCTCTGAGACTTCAGGGCCCAAACAATGACCAAGTTGGGGTTGGGCTGGGACCTATTGCTGGTTAATCAATAAGAGCCTGAGTGATTTGTGTTTAAGGCATGGTCCTTAAGAAGAATATACATGGTAAAGAAGAAAACATGGAACTACTAAGTCCATGAACCTTTTACCAATTGCTTCAATTTCCCTACCACTCATCTTTTGACTAACACCACAAGCAAAAAGTCAAATCGATTACCCTGAGGGTATCTATTTTTCTATTTCCTCAACTCCCCCAAGAAAATCAAATTGATATCATCTCCATTTTTTGTAATTCTATTCTGTATCACCACAGACATTTTGCATAACTGCTTAAGTCACTGTTTCTTTGCCTTTGAATTAAGTTCAGAAGTTCAGTCTTTCTCTCTGAATTAAGTTTAAAAGTTCAGTTCCCCTCTAATGCTTTAATTAAAAGATCTCTATACCACTAGCTATCCTTAACCAACTAGAGAAAATTATTATTTATATAACTGGTTAGCCAAGCTGGTGAACACCATCAATGAGCTTTCCATAGCCACAAAATGGAAGGAGGGGTTGTTACTAGCTCTGCCTACCTGATGTCCAGGCAATTATATTGTCCTCCACATCAGTGATGCTTCTGACTTTGTAACCAATCATGTTGTTTTCCCCGTCTATGATACTATCATCATTTTTTTTGGATGCTCCCCCTTTTGTCTGTAAAAATTATCTGTCTGCCCTTATTCAGGGTCTTTTTGACTCGAAGAGGAGCTAAAGACCCTTTTGTTGGTAACTGCTAGCATTACCAATAAATTGAATGTGGTCAGAGCTTTGTGCCTCAGTCTACCTTAATTTTGATCAGGACAGCCAGAAGTAAGAGGTTAGAACAGAGGACACCAGAAGCCTTAAGAACCTATAATCTGGAATACTAGGCCATAGATAAATTGGAAATTGGTAGAGGCAGTGTTATGCTAATAAATGTTTAACAACTGGCTCTCTAAGGTGAAAATGTGAGCACAACACACTTAAGCTTAATTTGCATCATTAGCAACTTCTCTATCACTGAAGTCTAGGCAATCAGCAAAACGATAAACATGATTCCATAGCGTTTGCTGATTTCTGAGGCATACGTGTTCGCACTACAAATTTCACAACTAATCTCCCAGTCTAGCTCTGGTACACCCCTGGGTAGAGGCTATGCTTCTAAAAGAGGGAGGAGATTCTAGCACCTGCCTGTGTTTCTGATTTGGAAGAGTGGCTGAGAAGAACCTGGTGAAGGCTAACCCCTAGGAGTGGGACTGGGAATCTCAGTGTATATTTATGTGCAAGCATACATGCCCTTGCTAATAGCTTCATAGCACTTCTTGCCAGGTCTTCTCCTAGCAAAGCTCCAGTCCCCAACTCCACCCTGATACCAGTCACCCCACCCTGATGAGGAACAGAGCTCTTTTTCAAGGCTGGAGTACCCAAGACCATCCCGTCACCATTCTGAATCTCATCTTTCAGTTGAGACAGTAATTCTCACTCCTGCTTTATTACAAACACTTCTTACACCTTTTCTTAAAAGTAATGTATCATCACGAAGTCTCTGAGGATAGAAGTAATAGGAACCATAATCCTTCCTGTCCTTTTTTCCAGACAGGGCATAGAACACGTGGCTTTACCTGTCAGAGGCTGGTTTGGAGGCAGGGATTCAGAGATTTGTATTAAATGTCAATTTTCCCCTGGTGAGAGACAGCATGATGTAATAGGTAGAGGGCCAGCCTTAAAGAAAGAAGGATCTCTGCTTCTGACATAGGCTGTGAGGCAAAACATATGACCCCTCAGTCATCCAGGCTCTGTGTCTAGAAATTACAGATGGGTTGAAGAGCTGCTCTCTGATTGGAAAGGCAGTTTATCACAGCTGTGGAATTACAGGTCAGAAAAAACACCCCTCCTTTTCTCCCTGTTCCCTCACTCCCCCCACCAAAAAAAATTAAAAAATAAAAAACTTCCCTGGAACCATTTGGAAGCGATTACTGGAGGTGCAGAACCCTTAGTACTTTGGAAAGTTAGACAAGTGGAGGAGAGCGGATAGCAGAGCTGTTAAGATAAGGAAGAAGTTGGGGGACCATATGTGTGGTTAGGGGTGGAGGGTTTGATCAGAGGTCCAATCCTACAGGGACCACAGTGGGCATTGGCTGCTCATCTAGGGAGGTTCATGGTATAGGCCTGTGGAGAAAGCCCAGTGCAGAGAAAGTCTTCTTCTGTCTTCATGGTCTCAAAGTAAAGTCATAGAGGCAGGTGGGGAAAGGAAGAGAAATGACACAGAAAGATTCCCAAGTAGCGGAGGACAAACCCCGATTTGCCAGGTAAGAGGCAAACTGGCCCGCAACTTCAATTTTCTTTGTGAAGGGAACTTAAATCAGCAATTTCGGATCTTAGAAAGTTTCTGAAACTGAGAAGTTAAGTGACTTGTCCACAGTCACACTGCTGGTATTAGTCAGAGGCAACACTACATATTTCCGCATTAGTCATGTTCTGGAGGAAAAAAAGATAAAGAAAAAAAAATATATGCTTCAGTCTGCACTGAGTCTATCAGTTTTCTATCTGGAGGTGGATAACATTTTATATCATGAGTCTTTTGCAGTTGTGATTGATTATTATATTAGAATATTATTATATTGATAGTTACTCTTTCACAGTTGATTGTTACAATATTGCTGTTACTGTACAGATTGTTCTTTTTGTTCTGCTCTTTTCACTTTGCATCAGTTCATATAAGTCTTCTCAGGTTCTTCTGAAGACATCCCCTTCATCATTTTTTTTTTTTTGGCTAGGCAATGGGGTTGTGACTTGTCCAGGGTCACACAGCTAGCAAGTGTTATGTGTCTGAGGCTGGATATGAACTCAGGTCCTCCTGAATCCAGGGCTGGTGCTCTATCCACTGCACCACTTAGCTGCCCCCACTTCATCATTTCTTATGCCCCCCCCCTTCATCATTTCTTATGCACAATAGTATTTCATCACATTGACATACCATAATTTATCCAACCATTCCCCTGTTGATAGGCATCCCTTCAATTCTTTGCCACCACAAAAAAAGCTGCTATAATATGGGTCATTTCCCTTTTTCTTCGATCTCCTTTGGGTACAGAACCAGCAGCAATTATTGGTTCAAAGGGTATGCACAGGTTTATAGCCCTTTGGGTATAGTTCCAAGATGTTCTCCAGAATGGCTGGACTAATTCACAGCTTCACCAACACTGTATTAGTGTTGTTATTTTCCCCTATACCCCTCCATCATTTGTCACTTTCCTTTTCTGTCATCTTAGCCAATCTGATAGGTGTGAAGTGGTAAATTGGTTTCCTTTGTAATCCTATGTATTTTAATCTATGTATTGAAGAACATTGCTCTGAGAAGAGGTCCATAGGCTTCATCAGAAGTCAAAGGGCTCCATGACACAAAGTAAACTAAGAATCCCTACCTCTAGAGAGAATAGCTAGGAGGGATAGTAGATAAGAGCATTAGATTTAAAATCCTGTCTTGATTTTTTAGTAAGACCTGTCTGAGCCACTTATTGGCCTTGTAACCCTGAACAAATCACTTAACCTCTCAGCCTCAGTTTCCTTATCTATAAAAGAGATAATAATAGCACCTACCTCACCGGTGGTGAGAATCCAATGAGATAAAATATGTAAAGTGCTTACAATACAAGCTAGCTACTATTATTAAGGAAGGTCCTTTTTAATTTTAAAGGCACTTTATTTCTGAAAGGTACTACTGCTAGTACAGTTGAAAAAAAAAGGGGCGGGGACTCTATACAGTAGGAAGTGTTATGCTATTCTCTTCACTATTTAACCTCTATTTACCTTATTTCCCTTCTCTTTTTCCATTTTTCTATGGTTTCACTTTAAA